AGTGCGGTGTTAAACAAACTTGCAGTGTCTGCAGTTCAGGGTCACGCTCTCGTACACGGCGATCCACCTCACCCCCATAGGCGACTCCTTGGGAACCGATCATTTGATGTTCGGGTGGAGATGGGGGCGGGATTTTGTATTAAGACCAGATATTGCCTAATTAAAACCTTGAAATTGTGACTGACAATTTTTTTCTTTTAACAATAAGCATAATTATAATAATAACAATTGGGATATGATGGCATCACACCAAGTCACCAAGTCACGAGTCCAGTCCTCTTAGGTTGCTGGCGACCTATTCTAACCCGGATTTCCCACGGGGAACTCTCCTTGAATCCCTTCCTTCTCACTCAACTGCCTACCGGAAATATTATTTCTTTTGTTTGAGGTACGAATAAGAAAGAAATCACTTTCTCCTACCGTAGGAAAATACAACATGGTGTTGTGTAATAGTAGAGGGCGCTTATAAGGGGCTATATAAGGTTAAGTATGTATAGAGTGGTCATTCTCGCTTGCAGTGCGCCACTGAAAACTTTACTTTTGTTATGGAAGCCCAAACACCTATCAACGACAAGTTAGACGCCATTTTGAAACAGTTGAATTCATCTAAAGAAGAGATAGCGAAAAGTATAGATGAACGATTAGATCTTAGAGTTGCTGGTTTAAGAGAAGAATTCTCAAAGACAAACAAGGAGTTACAGAAACTGAAAGCAGATAAAGATTACGTATGGTCACGCGAGGGTAATCGCATTCAATATTCTTTTAATGAAGAGATTTTAGAGACATTTAAACAAATTGAATTTGGAATTCTGTACGGTAAGAGTGATTACGTAACTGAGTTAGTCAAGAATGAGATAGCTAGGATCGAGAACAGAAACAAACACATAAAGATTGCAGATTCGTCCGAGGGAGGCTGGGAGACCGTGAGAAACTACGTGTCCCGTGAATTGGCTGATGACTCCGATGATGACCGTCGCATCACGAGTGCCGAGAACAAGGCCATCAAGAAAACCAAGGCCAAAAACGCACGTAATGCACGTGCACGTCCTTATAGGTATGGACCACGGCCCATTCCAGCGTCAACAGCGGTCAGCGACAGCACGCACGGTCAGTCTGCTGCTGGTGGTTCTCAGTTTTTTCGTGCCCGTGGAGGTCAGAGGTCAACAGGGGCCTTCTTTCACTGCGGTGACTTCTCGCATTGGAGACGACATTGTCCACTCGCCAACGGCCAGGAAGTACCATTACGGATTTAAAGCGTGGCAAAGGTGGGCTAATTCAAACAACATATGTGTAGACGTTCCTGTTCAGCCTTTGCATTGTGCTATTTATCTTGTTGCTGTAATGCAGCGTAAAGATTCGTTTTCATCAGTTCAGACTGCGTTTTATAGCATACGCCATGCGGCGGCCATGTGCATAATTTGTTGGGACTGCCAAGTCCGACAGATAATTCTCTTGTTCGAAATGTTCTTGAGGCTGCTAAGAGAAAGCTTTCGAAACCTAAATGTAAAAAAGAGCCAATTACTGTAGATATTTTAGAGAAATTGGTTGATGTTAAGCAACACAGCGATTGCTTGAAGGATATTCGCATTGTTGCTATGAGTTTAGTTGCTTGTGCCGGCTTTTTGAGATCTGCTGAGCTTCTCAATTTGAAGAGATGTGATATTATTTTTTACGAATCTTATATGACAGTGTTTATTGAGAAATCGAAAACTGATATGTATCGAGATGGTGCCTGGTTATTAATAAGCAGAACAAGAGGGAAGCTATGCCCGGTTTCTTGGTTAGAAACATATGTTGAAGCGGCTTGTATTGATAATGAGTCAGAAGAGTATCTTTTCAGAAACTTATCAAAGTGTAAGTCATCTTACGTCTTAAGAAAACAAAATTCAAGTATGTCATATACTCATTTGATGGAAGAGTTTATTGAAGCTTTTGCCCCCTTTGTCAGAGATATATCAGAGTATGGTTTGCATAGTTTGCGTGCAGGCGGTGCAACAGCTGCAGCTAACAATGGTGTCCCGGACAGGATGTTTAAGAGGCATGGTAGATGGAAAAGTGAGAACGCAAAAGATGGATATGTAAAGGATTCAGTAGAACATCGTTTGTCAGTATCAATGTCGTTAGGACTATAGTATTTTATATTATCAGCCCGTTCTTTGAATCTCGAGTTGTGGTGCTCTGCATAGCAATCCAGAAAGTGTTCTGTTATTTGTTGTATTGGAAGGTGATATATAGGAGAAATATTATTTCTTTCGTTTGAGGTACGAATAAGAAAGAAATGACTTTCTCCTACCGTGGGAAAATACAACATGGTGTTGTGTAATAGTAGAGGGTGCTTATAAGGGGCTATATAAGGTTAAGTATGTATAGAGTGGTCATTCTCGCTTGCAGTGCGCCACTGAAAACTGTACTTTTATTAATGATTGTTTCTAAGTTGCAGTATGTGCGGTTAACGGTGTTAACCATGATGGCCTGTCGCCCACGACGAGGTATGTCGCAAAAGATGGAGGCTTGTCACCCTGAGAATGTCGCAAACATGGAGGCTTGTCGCGCCGAGAAACTGATGCCTGTCGCATGTAAACAGTAGCTCGTTGCTCATGATATGTTATTATCACTGATTATGGCTTGTTGCCATAGGGCTCGTTGCCACGTATATTTGAAGCTCGTCGCGTTAATCGAGACTCGTCGTCAGTATTTGTATATTGTCAATTTATTCAATGTCATATGTTAGATATTGTGTATATCATGGATGTCAAATGACTGAAAAATATGTAAATGTGATATTAATGTTGAATTAAACGGTGAGTTGTGGTGCACTGCATAGCAATCGAGAAAGTGTTCTGTTATTTGTTGTATTGGAAGGTGATATATAGGAGAATGCCAGTGCTCCGTTCAATTTCAAGACACGGGGCGACCCTGGTCAACTGCTTTACCTTTTGTTGTTCAATGTTAGCACAGTTTAAACTGATTGACGTCATACTTCGGTAGACAATCGTTACTTACTGAATCCCTTGGGTGCGGATCTCTGGCTTAGCAGCCTCCAGGTGATTGTTAAAACTAATCAGTTTCATATATTGATTCAGTCATGAATATAAGCATTTTAATGAATATATATAACTAGGTATTGATACTTTGTACAATGTATGTATTCTGATATGGGTCAGGGACATTTCTTGTGTGTTTCTTTACATACAATTTATTTTCAAGGTTTTTGATGTCCAGATAAGTCCGACATGGGTGAGAGATTTTGTGTCCTAATCATTTTGATGCAATAGAAAAAATAAACTTATGCTCGCTCACAGAGATACAATACCTCAGTTTAACATGAATACCCCATTCAGACACATTCCGAGCTGACCAGTCCTTATTTTAATCCCTTGATGCCAAGCAGGGTAAGAACAAGTACCATCTTTAATATTTTTTGGTATGACGAAACCAGGGATTGAACCTCCGACCTTCCGCTCTTTGGCCGGACACTCTATCCACCAGCCAATGGAAGAGGTCTGTTCACTTGTGGTTGGTAATAAACTTTTGGTGTATAGGGGCTCATGTGGGGTCAGTAGATCTGCTCTCTGATTGGTCAATCTCACTTTGAGGCATAAGGTTTCATATGGCAACAGTTGGATCAAAGGCTATGTCAGCAATAAATTGATGTGTTGTCAGCAGAAAAGAGACCCAAGTTTGCCTAATGCTAACAAGAGTCATCAGAAATGTTGAGCAATTGTCCTCTTTCAGAAATGGGGGATAAATATACTGTCTTGAAATTAATGTGTCTCCAAATTATTATGACTGCTGACCCCTAGCAAATAATGTGACTCAATATCAATGCGACTCCCCCCACCCCCAGTGGAATGATACATATCCTTACCTTAATCCAATCAAACAGCAAATAGCACTGCTTATTGGCGCTGAGTAAAGCACTTCCGTAAAAACAATAAACAGTGTTTTCCTGAAAACAACACACAGTTTACATGTTTATTCTGTTGACTGGCATTAAGGAAGTTCAAAGGCAATAAAATAATCAAACCAACAACAGTTCACTGACTGGTATGCGGAGGAGTCGACAAACTTGAAGGCAGATAACCAGACAAAGGCTGTAGATCTGAGGAGTGTGATGAAGCCAGTGCGCGTTGGGTCGTGTGGGTCTTTGACGAAGAGTTGCATGGGTAGCGTCACTCTGGACTGTTGGAGTGTTCAATGATGCCAAATTTGACTTGAGTGGGTAGAACTCTTGTCCCCAGCAGTGATAAATCACCGGATGCCTATTGTGTTATTCCTATTTTTTAAATGACGTTATATGCTTGTTACAACTGCTGCTCAATAAACCATGTTTGTGTTTGTATTCAAGTTGGTATTTCAGCTATCCAAAGTGTGCAGTCCTATTGGTGATAGTCATTTTGAAGACATGAATGCAAAGCTTAATTAATTTGAACAAAGACCACTCACATTTTTCGCATTTAATTCACGTTAATTTCAAGATTTACAGTATATCCCTGAGCAACAGTGAAACAGAATAGTTTTTATTCAGGCTTTCCAATGTGACCATCTGATTCCCTACGGCACTGACGTCCCATTCACAAGGTACAGTTCTGAATACCATATTCCAACCTTCAATGACCAACCTATTCAAACACAATTCAATTCAACCACTCAAGGTCACAATACAGTTGGACTTAAGAGAAATTTGAAGTGTGCAATACAGTTATTCTAGTGTGCAATTAAAGTTAAGTCATGAACCTCAGGTTGCTATGTAAACACCAGAAACATTGGGGAAAATTGGCCATCATTGATCCTCAGAGAGTTTAGATCTTCTTTGGTTATCTGGAAGGCTTGTCGTGTGGCTTTGTGTGAACTTCAATCGGACGGATGACAGGGTGAATTTGACTCCGTAATGTCCTGGCAGGAACTCCATGTCCTTGCCTCCATGACGGAAGTCAACATAGCGCACGCCAGGCGAGTAGTCCTTGAAAGTGTGGGACGCCTAGAACACAAGAACAAGCATACACAGAGGTTATCACAAGAGTAGTTCTTGAAAGTGTGGGACGCCTAGAACACAAGAACAAGCATACACAGAGGTTATCACACGAGTAGTTCTTGAAAGTGTGGGACCCCAGGAACACAAGAACAAGCATACACAGAGGTTATCACACGAGTAGTTCTTGAAAGTGTGGGACCCCAGGAACACGAGAACAAGCATACACAGAGGTTATCACAGGAGTAGTTCTTGAAAGTGTGGGACGCCTAGAACACAAGAACAAGCATACACAGAGGTTATCACACGAGTAGTTCTTGAAAGTGTGGGACGCCTAGAACACAAGAACAAGCATACAGAGGATATCACACGAGTAGTTCTTGAAAGTGTGGGACCCCAGGAACACAAGAACAAGCATACACAGAGGTTATCACACGAGTAGTTCTTGAAAGTGTGGGACCCCAGGAACACAAGAACAAGCATACAGAGGTAATCACAAGATTATTTCTAGAAAGTGTGGGACCCCAGGAACACAAGAACAAGCATACAGAGGTTATCACACGAGTAGTTCTTGAAAGTGTGGGACCCCAGGAACACAAGAACAAGCATACAGAGGATATCACAAGAGTAGTTCTTGAAAGTGTGGGCCCCCAGGAACAGAAGAACAAGCATACACAGAGGTTATCACACGAGTAGTTCTTGAAAGTGTGGGACGCCTAGAACACAAGAACAAGCATACACAGAGGTTATCACACGAGTAGTTCTTGAAAGTGTGGGACGCCTAGAACACAAGAACAAGCATACAGAGGTTATCACACGAGTAGTTCTTGAAAGTGTGGGACCCCAGGAACACAAGAACAAGCATACACAGAGGTTATCACACGAGTAGTTCTTGAAAGTGTGGGACCCCAGGAACACAAGAACAAGCATACAGAGGTAATCACAAGATTATTTCTAGAAAGTGTGGGACCCCAGGAACACAAGAACAAGCAGACAGAGGTTATCACACGAGTAGTTCTTGAAAGTGTGGGACCCCAGGAACACAAGAACAAGCATACAGAGGATATCACAAGAGTAGTTCTTGAAAGTGTGGGCCCCCAGGAACAGAAGAACAAGCATACACAGAGGTTATCACACGAGTAGTTCTTGAAAGTGTGGGACCCCAGGAACACAAGAACAAGCATACAGAGGATATCACAAGAGTAGTTCTTGAAAGTGTGGGACGCCTAGAACACAAGAACAAGCATACAGAGGTTATCACACGAGTAGTTCTTGAAAGTGTGGGACCCCAGGAACACAAGAATAAACATACAGGAATCTAAAATGGTGTTTTCAAATATTTGTTAATATTTGGAAAATATCAGAAATATTCCCAAATAGGAACTACAAATCTTTGAGGCATTTAGATGCTCAATATGTAACTAATAACAAAACTGTATTGATAATCAACTTATTTTTTACAGTTGCAGTAACATTTTGATGTGGATTCTTACACTTCTATTACAGTTCCATACCACTGATACAATTATATGATCTATTTTTGTCAAGGCTATTTGTATTCAATTACAGGACCAATGAATACAAACTTACTTTCATATTAAGTTCTAAATTATTGCATTAAATGGACTGGTATAATAACTCTGAAAACAATTTATTGAAGAAAAAATGGAATCCTAATTTTGAACCAAAAAAGTCCCGGTTTGCCTGCAAAAGGCACTTCAAATACAATGTAGCTGATATACCTACACTATTCCACTACCCATGAGCACAGGGACACATGGCTGTAGAGTACATGGGTAACTCACCTGATGCCAGTCCCCTCCCTCCCCCTGTCGAAACTGTTTGAGGAACACATGGCTGTCAATCTGGTGTCCCATCCAATCCAATAACCGGACGGTCATTTCATAGGCACACCCGCTATCATGACGAGCCGCATACCTGAAACACAGGCAGGGACAGAACTGAAGACGAGTCAGCAAGTCTGAACCAATTTATTTCATGTTAAACATTATATTTTATTCTATTGTATCACCCTCAACTATCATCACTTACCAGTCAGACACCTGTATATGTGGCTTGACATGATCCATGACCCACTCCTCCACACCCTCAACTATCATCACTTACCAGTCAGACACCTGTATATGTGGCTTGACATGATCCATGACCCACTCCTCCACACCCTCAACTATCATCACTTACCAGTCAGACACCTGTATATGGGGCTTGACGTGATCCATGACCTACTCCTCTACACCCTCAACTATCATCACTTACCAGTCAGACACCTGTATATGTGGCTTGACATGATCCATGACCCACTCCTCCACACCCTCAACTATCATCACTTACCAGTCAGACACCTGTATATGTGGCTTGACATGATCCATGACCCACTCCTCCACACCCTCAACTATCATCACTTACCAGTCAGACACCTGTATATGTGGCTTGACGTGATCCATGACCCACTCCTCCACACCCTCAACTATCATCACTTACCAGTCAGACACCTGTATATCGGGCTTGACGTGATCCATGACCCACTCCCCAACAACCTCAACTATCATCACTTACCAGTCAGACACCTGTATATGTGGCTTGACATGATCCATGACCCACTCCTCCACACCCTCAGCTTTCAGATCAACCTCCTGAGACTTGACACACCAGTAGTATGAAGTGGTCCACACCTTCACACCAGGCTCTGGAACAGGAGTTACAGAGCAAAGTGTAGTGTGATACTATTAACAGTAGAGGATGTCACATGTAAATAAAATGATTGCAAATTGACAAATATGAAACAAAACATAGAGCCAAGGCACTGTGTTTCACCTGCATATGTTTTTTTTGTTTGGTTTGTTGTTTAACGCCGCACTAAGCAATATTACAGTTATATGTAACTGTCTGTAAATAATCTAGTCTGGACCAGACAATCCAGTGATTGACATCATGAGCAACGATCCACACAATTGGGGCTGCGAGTCTGACCACCCGATCCCATTAGTCGCCTTTTACGGCAAGCATGGGTTGCTGAAGACCTATTCTACCCCGTTCTTCACGGGTCACCTGGATATGTAGTCCACAGTCTAAAATGTCAAACAATGAGGACTAAACACTGACACTAGAATCAAATTATTTGAACAAAACATAATGGCATCACAAGGAGAAACATGCATCAGTCTAGCAATTACAATGTACAACAAGTTTACAAAACCAATATGCCTTTTGACATAACTGAGGAGCATGCTCAAAACAAGGTAAAACAATATTGGAAAACAAAACCCAGAACATATGCACAGAATCCCACACCTAAAAAAACAAACACCAAAAGTCTTCATATTTTTTACAAGGGGCGGTCGGGTAGCCTAGTGGTTAAAGCGTTCGCTCGTCACGCCGAAGACACGGGTTCGATTCCCGACATGGGTACAATGTGTGAAGCCCATTTCTGGTGTCCCCCACCGTGATATTGCTGGAATATTGCTAAAAGCGGCGTAAAACCATACTATCTCACTATATTTTGTACAAAAGTTATGACCATAAACAGATTGCTGTGGCACCCATATTGAAAATCAGCTCAACAAAGTGGGGTTACATCACGGGTGAGAAATAGCTTGAGCACTTGCAGCTTCACTGGTCCATGGGTTTCCCAGGTGAGGATGTTTGCAGTACAAAGAGAGAAATTACGAGCATGGTCAAATGTGCTGTGGGCCACAAATACCCAATTGCATCCCATTTTGAACACAAATGGCTGTGTAAGGGCCAAACTGCCCATGCAGGTCCAACTTGGACATACTACAGTAGACATTATTCAGCATGGTCAGTCACCACCATTTTGTAGTCACAGACACAGAGGAAATTACAATGTGTGGGGAAAAAATCACTTCTGCCATTTTATCAATCAATATCGAAGGGACATATCATTTGTGAATTAATTTCTGTATAGATGTTAGGTTAAACAGTACAAATAATAACAAAACGTGTCTTATTTTGTTTTACCCAATATACAGGAACACAAAAAATATGGCAATATGTTTCGTTTGAAAAACGTATTGCAGTATACCGATAATACTGAGCAGTCCTATTGCTCAGTGTAGAATGTGTAGAAGTTACTACTGAACTCACCTTCCATGGGCACAAAATCTGAAAGTGGTTTCACATCAACAGGAACATCCTCCACGCCGAATCCATTGCCACCATCCTCCTTTATCCTCCATTTAATGCAACCAGCTGGGTAAAATAAATCTAAATGAGACCAGGCATATAAACTTGTAACTCTTTCTTCAAACAGTTGAAATTAAGGGAGAAATTAACCAGGCGAGGGGACATGAAAAAACATGGTGAATGTTTTTGTACATTTATTATTAGTTAACAGAACATCTCTGGCCCAGCCACCAACCCTTCCATGATGATCAGAAATTGAATAAAAGCTGAAGGAAATTTATAACTTAGAACCCTTACCTTTCTTTTATCCAGGTCAGAATATTTACGCGAAACCATACCAAGTGGACCCTGATGGAGAGGATGTAACTCATTGACTTGTCTCTGACACTTCTAACTCCATGTTTCTTTCCTTACATTATTTTTTCACACAGATTTACCCAACACGAAATACTACATCAACCCAAGGTTTTAAAGAAACTGTACCGGGTAAATATGAAAATCAAAACATAACTAAATATCTACAAAGCCATACCATTAGTTATTACTAACATAAATTGAAACATTTGTAATTCCAATTTGGGAATTTGTCCTGATATTTGCGTCCGACTTGGGGCCAATTATCAGCCCCCGAGCAGATGTTGTTAAATCCCTAACTTACAGTGTTCCCGTTGGCTTTTGAAACTGCCTTGTGGACTGGCATCTCTAAACATTACCAGATCCCCCTAATTTTTTCCAGTCCCATCTTTCAACAAATAAAAAAACGTACGGAAATTATTTGGTTTTAATTCTTTCAACTTCATGTTCAGTGCACAGATGTCATCTCTGAAGTAACTTAGTTAGATCTATACGTCATTCACAAAACTTCAGTCACAATTTTCCCTTCTTTTTTATATATTTCGAGACATATTCGCTACACATGGATATTTAACTTAGAAATAGACACAAGGAAACCCTGATGGTAACAGACAAGCTGACTTTGTTAGAAAAATGTACTTATATGAATATCACCGATGTTTTGTTCAACAACAAAGATTTATAAGGTACTTTATTTACCGGTCCACAGGGACTGGCAGTCACATGAATTACCGGTCCAAGCCTAATTTTATTGTAAAAACCTGGTAATTACCAGTAAACGGGAATGCTGACTTAATCAAAATATTTTCATGAATAAAACACCTGAAGGTTTCACAAATAGAAGGAAACACATCCAACACTGAACTGTAATTCCATTTGTCATTACTAGTTACCATGATAACAGAATCTAACTATCTGCCTGACCAGTCACCAACTTACAAAAACCCAAGTCGTCACACCGTCCTGTATTAAACAACTTGTCATACCTTTGGCACATGAGTTTTTCAACAAATTTCTCCCATATGGATTGAAGAAATAAAGTTTCATGTAGTTGCCATCGTGTGGTGGAGGAGTGATGTTTGGCAGGAATTTCCTTGTCTTCTCACACTTGATTTGCCACAGATGAGTGCTGTTGATGACGTCTCTCCATTTATGACATACCAGGATACAGCTTCTGATTAAATCAGCGCCAGACACTTGAACTAATATTTCGGCAAGAACTTCATTGGGGAGACTTTCCATTTAAAAAACGTCGAGTGTTTTGGATTCTGTGTCTTTATCCTGATATGTGCACATGAGGATAGAATGCATCGTTCCTGAAAATTCAATTTGAAACTCATTCAAGATCAGCATTATCACGATAATGTCACTACTTCTGCTAATCCTTTATTCTTAATCAGTTGTATGTATGTATGTATGTATGTATGTATGTATGTATGTATGTATGTATGTATGTATGTATGTATGTATGTATGTATGTATGTATGTATGTATGTATGCATTTACACTGTAAATCTTGACATTAACACGGGCGTGAATTAATTGCGAAAAATGTGAGTGGTCTAGGCTCGCATTATTAAACATTGCATTTATATCAACAATAAGACATTTTGGATAGCAGAAATACCAACTTGGACATACGCTGAAAAAAACAACTATGTTTTCCACATCACTGTTTATTGAGCAGCACTTGTAACAAGTATATAAACAATGTCATTCAAACACAAATCACATCCTGTGAATTGTCACTGCTGGGGTCACGACAAGAGTTCTACTCACTTATGTCATCACTGATCACAGCTGCAAGTCCAGACAGACGCCATGCACCCACACAACACAGTGTCTTTGTTCTTTGCGACTGCGTCAAAGGCCGACACGAGCCAGCGCGCATGTATTGTTTTAGCGGAAGTACTCTACTCGGCGCTAATAAGCGGTGCCATTTGGTGTTTGATTGGGTTAACGTAAGGTTGGAATAAGGTGAGGATTCTCCGGTAAACCTGACAGAGGACATTTTCTTAAGATAACATATCCACTGATGCTTGAGAGGAGGGGGTGTCGCATTCATATTGAGTCACGTTTTTGGCAAGGGGCCAGCGTTCGCATTCTTTTGGAGACACATTAATTTCACGATTTACAGTATATATCTCGGATATATATATGTATGTATGGCTTATGCATGTTCTGTACATCGAACTGACAGGTTTTCAATTCAAGTTGAAAAGAACAACACATTCACCATATTTCCCATTGTATCATTTCACAAAAAGTGCAGATACCATATATGTGTCAGATATGCATTTATGATCAAATGTTTACGCTAGGAGCAAATTACCACTCGAGAATGTTGCCAGTGTGCTCATATATTTCTTTCACTTAAAAAATATTTTACGATGACAAACTTCCCGGACGTCCGCATCTTGGAAGTGTAAGAATGCATAACAGGCTAGTTGTCACTCATATGAACATATCGATTATAATGTTCAAAACAATATTTCAAAGTTTTCGGTAACTAAAATAATTGACATTTCCAGAAGCAAAAAACTAAAGTGACCGTTATCATATCGTATTTTTATGGAGAGAAGTAATAGGGCCTCATTTTGCTGCTAAAATGTAAGAGAGGTTCATATACACTTTTAAGGTTTCTACGGATATACACTTACAACTTTCTTTTGCCTCTGAACGCATGAAAAAGCGGGACGACCCAAAATTGAAGAGTGATAAGTATAACGCTACTGCGAGTTACCCTATCTTGAGTATTCACTGCAAGCTCCTTCACAGTGCGTGACACCTTCATTACCCTCCAGATCGACTGGGCTCCTTTGCAATTAAACTAGTAGGTTAAAAGCGTTAAGCTTGCGGCGCGTAATCACAGTGGAACCAGTTTACACACCCGCTTATAGTATAGAGAGCTCCACGAATGGGCTATCACTGCGAGGAGCTTGTTCTGTACTGTATTGGTAAATATGTTCATTCCGGTTTCGGAATTCTCGCCATTGATTGGATCATGGATCCCATAAACGAACCGAAAACGGTTTTGATGGCTGGAATATCATTCCGGATTTAGGGAGTGTTTATTATAATTAAAAACAATGCCCGTAAACGATGGCTAATGATTAATCACAGTGATTAATTTATAGCTGATTAGATGCATAATACCCTGAATTTCTTTTTGAAATGAAGAATTTAAAATTATTTTTGTGATGCGTATTTAAATTCAATATGTATCTCAAAGATAATATATCTCATCAAGTACTCCCAAGCACCGTCGAACAGAATCTGAAATCATGGAAGATGAGAGCAAACTCCGTCAGAGATGCACTTGGGAAAAATTTGAAAATGAAAAATTTGGAGACGATAAAGTATGGTCAGAAACATCTGACGAACAGGTACATGTGTAATCGATATAATGGTTAGAAAATTAACACAGCACTCACTATGATATTTTACAACACAACTGATCAAGCTACTCTTCCAGGTCATTGCACATTTCTGCCATGGATTGTCCTAAAGCTGATAATTGTTGCATTGGAACAAATATTTATGTCGTTGTCTTTAGTTACCACTAGACTTGCACTGTAAATTATATTAACCTTTTTTTCTAAATTGTGCAAACGTTTCTGAAACCTAGAATAGCTGGAGATATGGGATGTTGATATGGTTTATCGTTTTATCATGTTTATGGAATTCTCACAAATATTACTTACCTTGAACATGTTAGAGGTTTATTCTAGAAATATATGGTGAAAATATAAACTGCTGGCATGAATTATACATATGGCATTGTTTTATCTGTGCTGATTGTCTGTGATTTAGGAGATTAACATCATACGTGTTATATGCTTTCAGACCAGTGGAGGTTTAAACGCTGTTAATTTGGAGATAAACCTACTGTTTTTTAATTTGAGGCAGTCCCCCTATAGTTTGTTTAATCTTTGTGTATGTCTGAGGCAAAGACGGAATCAGCAGGTTACATAAGACATTACGAACAGATAAGCATGTTTCATGGACATACTTTACTTGGCAGGGCAATGGCAGTATACAACAGTCGATGACTGTACATACAAAGTTGTGATGTCACACACATGCTGTTAGTAGTGAGACTTCTTGTCACATAGATTAGATACCTTTTATTTCGGTTTGGAACCGAGCGCTTTAGGTTTATGTCATTCTAAACTCTAACTCATTGGTGTTCATATCCAGTGTTTTGAGTAGTTTTCTTTCTGAATTATAGAAACAGCAATGAAAACCTTTATAAAAATTATGGCGACATCAGTGATCAAAAAAAATTTTTTCGCATCATTATCATGATTATCATGATTATACTTTACTTGGATATATGATAGACATTGAAAGTGTGTAGCACACCAACTTTACAATCCAACATCGAGGGGGCAACACAAAAGAAAATGAAGTAAGCCTCACTAGTGTCAGTTCAATACCTACAATACTATTATGACATCACACTGCAAAAGATATGATGTCACTTTCAACTACACAAAAGCTCCATATCTCAATCATGTCAATCACTCTTGTTGTCCATCAAACTTGAAATACACAGCAACTCTGCATTTGTGATCTATAATTGTATACAATTATTTAATAATACCTTCCGACTATGACTAAGAACAAAGTACTTCTCCATACATATAAACTGATACGGCCATCATATCAGCTGTTTCAATCAGGGGTGGTAATTGTGATTTGATACCACCCCAGATTGACCAATAATATTTAGATAATGAACTTGATAAAATCAGCAAATTGCCTGAATGTGATGAATTCAATTTATCAACAGCAAAAGACATGCCATGCTTTAAGGGACAAGACGATGACCATCCTTAAAGGGGCACTGATCTAACGGACTGGTTGTTGCCTTTGTTATTGTTTTCCCCCCGTGAGTACCCGGATGATACGCAACGCAACTGAGCGTGACCAGAGACTGGGGTACCGTCTGCAAGGACAGCTAAATAAACTTGGAGGCTGGAGGCAATATTTGTTTTACGCAGCCTAAACAAACAGACAAAAAAAACAAGGGAGCTCATCGGATGTCGTCATTTGGAAATACCCCAGATGGTTATAGTTTAATACTAAAAAAAATATCCATGCAGTGAAACCTTTTTCGGATTTCAGCTTGCGTCGATAATACGATTACTACTCCCTTGTTGTCATCCACGTTTTCTCGTATAACCCTACACTTGTGTATTTGTTGTCATTCACTTGATGCTCAGTTAATGAATTTATTACAGGTACAGTTAGTGGTAGCACCACTTATATTACCTGACAAAGGTTCCCATTTGGCATTTATTGTGTCTGGGGTAATTATTCAATCTAAATCCAGGTTTGAAGTGAGGTGAAATGTGTGTTATGTAATATGCACGTGGCAGCCCAGCAAGAGATGAATGATCAGTTGATTTACTTTTTTTTGTAAATCAACGGATCGTTCCTAGTCATCAAAGGATTAACAGAAAATACGTTGATTGATTAATCACTGTTATCTTGCACAGTGGATATGTCAAGAGTGAGTGTTTACATGTCTAGGTTTACTAAAACAAACGGAATACACTCATATCATGGCGCGAAGTGCCGATGTAAAAACAACATACTTTGTTCAAAGGGTTAACTGATAATACGTTGATTGATTGATCATTGTTATCTATCACTCAATGGAATTTTTAGGAACCGTGGACGCTATGAAAATAGTTGTCACGTGGGCTTTCTCAGCCGACCATTGAGACTTGACACCTATGTGAAACACCTGAAACAATCCAAGCGATCAGTTGAGAAACGAACACGGGTTATAATATCCCGAAACGATATATATCTTTTAAAATATTTGATTGTTACTGAGACACGTGACATCGAATCAGTTTCTTTGTACAGCTGCAGACGAGTGGGATATTGTTCCTTTGTGTGGATATTCACGGATACATTCCTCGAAAAAGGAAGCTGCCTAAAACTTATACACATAAATTTGGTAGGTTGTAATTATGATATCTGCATTTTGTTTTCCTTCATTTGAACCGATTCGTTCTTGTTTCTCTACGTCTTGGTTGGGAAATTCTTCAATGCGCGATAGACGTTGTTGTCACAGGTCTTTTCCTTTGTAAGCGTGTATATATTACCGTCAATTTGTAAAATGTGATTCTCTCAGGCAATTTATAAAATGTGTAAATATTTCAGTCATTTTGACTAAGAAATCTGTCCAGATTGATCAAGACGATCAAAAGGGCCTACAAACATCACAACAGATTATTATGTAGGATTAAAAGCCAAACAACTTAGAAATGTACTTTTCAACGTTACATTTTCAGTCTCTTGGTGATGACATTAAACATCAAAATGTTTGGAATTCGTTGTCATAATAATACAGATGGAAATGTCTTTCCGTCACTTTGTAAAATAACTGAATATTTAGACGTTTAATAAATTTGTTACACATTTGACAGTAAAAAAATATACACACTATAAAAATAGCATATGCTCAGGTGAAATATTTACTTTGTGTTGCAAGTCAAAATAGTGTAAACGAAAATCGCAAAATTACCAAGCAAGTGACTTATCAAAACTTCGTCACCATTACCGATGATACTCACAAAGATACCTACATTTCCTTATTATCTCGAAAACTGTATTTCATTTTGTTGATCAATGTGACCATACGCCCTTATTACTACCCATAAAGTGACTAATGCGCTTACGAATGGCGCAGCAGAGGTCGCGAACTAGTCTAGATTTCTGCTATACATCCGGGTATTCACTGGGAAAAAACAATAACAAAGGCAACAACCAGTCCCGGGGAATTGCGTTAGATCAGTGCCCCTTTAAGCTTTGTTAGTATGCAGTAGTTGATAACCCCTGAGCTTACACAGCTCTGCTTGTCTTATTACGGGACAAAATGTTCTGCTCTAGTGACCACACTGCGTCTTATCACATGACCAGACTTTTCTCTCAAATGCACATATTCTCAAATAAGATCAGACGGGCCTGATGCATGCTTTTTAGTGCGCTTTGCATATTGGTTTGCTCAATGAAATAGATATACTACTACAACTCCGACATTGAGGTGCATGACAGTATAGCTTTGCACATCAAAGTGACCGTATCGCTCTGTGGGGCTTCAATGACATCACATGGAGGATAAATATGCAAATGGAAATAGCTTTTCATATTTTAGGATATTTTCTCAATGAAAGTTATGTTGTAACTCATCCATTAAAAAAATACACAGGATTTCTCTTCAATTTGCCTCTGAATACAAAAATGACTGAAGCCAGTTTACTCTGTGCAGTGCTTATGTTGGAAATTATTTCATGCATCATTTAATAAGACATAGAACCGTTGATTTACTGTCGCTATTATGACAGCAGTTTTTTTCAAGATTTTGTTACTTTAAAATTTGATATAAATTTATCATATAATCCTAAGACATCAAAGTGCTTTAGTGCTTCCTTGTACTACATGTACAATGTTGTGACTAATCAGAAGTTTACAAGAGCATTCTTTTGTCATTCCATCTTTTCTTGGTCACCTGGTGTTATCACTATTTGATAGTGATTCATAAACACATGCTTATGATATTGTCGGAACTGTACAATGGACAATGTACAGTGGAGGTGTCTTATGATTACTGAAATATTTTTTGTCGCTTTTCATTATTAACATGCTAAATAAGGACAAGATCAAATATATAGTAACTAGCAGAACCAAAAATGTGACAAATTTCATGGTTTTATAATTTAATAAATATTTGGAGAATTTCATTCACATTTTGCACATATCTTCTAATTTTGGATTTGTTGTCGGTGATTATAATCTGTAGCAGTACCATTTCTCTGTAAACACTTGTTTAGGTTGTCCCAGCTTTGGTGAATGACCCAGCACCATTCACTGTTATACTTTTGGCTCCAGCTGTTTCACATTATGTTTCATCGCAGATGGTCGATGGCAGGATTTGCAAAGCATTTGTTTCGTTAACTGTTGTTGACAGACATTTTCCAAATATTTCTGTGTTTTTAATCAAGGTGCTCAAATAATTTGATGCACTTTGCAAGGTAAGACCCATTTTATTACATATAGATCTGAAATCAGATTGTCTTGACTGGGGCATCTTCTGATTGGTTGAGGCACCACTGAAAAATCCCTTCTGAAACATCAGATGAAGCTGGACTTGCAGCATTTACTGCTAAATGTTTCACTGACCAATTGTATAACAAAGCAAGACACACTACCCGATGTCTTTCCTTCGCACCAAAAGTCAGCCAAGTCCCGATCCTGGCCTACACTTAGCGCTTCACCTGCTTCAAACTTCAGTAAACTAATGCTCTATGTAGCCCTGTCAATATTGCAGGCTTTTTTTGCCGATCGGATACCTGAATCATGTAATTCTCTAGTGTTTCTATTTGCTTTGTTAGCCTGACTGAACACCACTTCTGTGTTCTTGTGGTAGAGCATTCACCTGGAGAGCTGAAAGTCGGAGTTTTGATTCCTGGCCACGTCATACCAAAAGACAGTAAAAGATTGTACTTGTTGTTACCCTGCCTGGTGTTCGGCATTAAGAGACAAAATAAGGACGGTTAGGCTTGGAGTCAGTATACGGTGCAGGGTGCCAAATTAAGTTTATTTCAGGTGTGCCAATGGGCACAGTTATGCCAAATTAAGTGTGCCATAGGGGCACGCAGGTTAGGAATTCACCGTGCCATTACAGTTCGAGGTGTGCCCTCGGCATGATGGCACTAATAATTTCAAACCCTGCTGTGTCAGAGTTGGGTATTCATGTTAATTGTGGCATGATATTCTCAGTGGGTTGGCACTATAAAGTGGCACTAGTACAAGCAACCACATACACATATTCATGAAGCTGAAGCGTTACATGCTTGTTCCGACCAATGATGACCAAGAAGTTTGAATCCAAGTTTGAGGCCAGGACAAAGGCCTTTTTTGTTCAAAATCTCATGAAATTTGGTACATGTGTAGTTCAATCTCATTAAAATAAGATCTAAGTTCTTGCTGCCGCTAAACGAAGATCTGAGGACATCCCATTACGGGTCACATCAGAACGACTTTTCATCCAAACAATCAAAGCGTCGCTTACCAGATCATGAAAGTTACAGTCGACTGTCGGGATATCTCAGATCTTTGTTTAGAGATAGCGAGAACTAAGATCTCACTTTAATGGGAATGCTTTGTTTAGCGAATTTGAGAACTAAGATCAGATTTTAATGAGATTGATGTGTAGTTAGTAGTGGGGCTCAACACTTATGTTCCACTTTTATATTTTCATATTTAAGATTTTGGTGTCACGCTTTGATAATGTTCCAATTTTCTCTCAAGTGAAACCTTGTAAGCCATCATGGGCATCCATATTTCAAGACAAACAGACTGTCAACATTGGACATTTTGATCGTTCATGATTCTGCTGGGATCATGAAGATACAGATTCAGGATTTTTCAGTTTCATCATTACTTACTCTGCACATGATTTATCATGTTAATATGTAGAACATTTTGTCAGAAACAATACATGGAAGGTCACCATGGTGATTATGTTTGCAGATGCGAGTGGAGAGATCAATTGCTGCCCTATACACCACTTTCAAGAACAAACTTGACATCAGCCCAGAGTAAGTAGAATTTTATCTGTATTCAATGACTCTCTTATCAAACCTGCGTGAACTTTGACTTATCCAAATAACGGGTGTTTGGCTTTTTGAGATGATGCCCAACTGGCAGCCATGGACATTACTGGAGTTTTATTTATGTTTGGTGAAGGTGAAAAGAGACAACTGTATAAATTATCCACAATTTTATGCAGCAATTATTGCTCTCCATTTGGAACTTCTTTTGGAGATACAGAAAGAAGACATGTTACTCCAAATGCTTCTCTTGTATGTAGCTCGAATAAGAAACCTCCTTGCTGATTAGTTGATTAGAAAGGTCACCTGACATGACCTCCAATGGAGGGTTTGTTTTGATCTTGTTGGAGCAAGGTAGCAAATCAGTGTTAAAGATGATTCTATTTTATGTTGTAAGACACTCATATCTGTTGAGATTCCAGGACAGAATGTGTCCACAGTACCACATACTTGTGTGAAGTTTGTAACATGAATTTGTTAAACAACCATCACATTACTGGAGGCATATACACAGTAGAGCATATTCTTGCTACCTCTCAGGACATTCCATTATAGGTCACGTCAGAACGACCTTTTGTGAACTTTGACCGACCAATGAAATGACTAACAGGAAGGCAATATAAGCCACTAAGAAAGCAGCTTTCTTGAGCATTGCAGCACTAGTTTCAAACTGGCAACTTCCATTCCACAATGTAACATAACAATATGAATATTTCCTTTTTTTATTACACCGTGTTTGTATCGATATCTATCGTGTAGTTGTCCAATTTTTATCACGAACATTGATACTACTCGCTGTGCAGAGTTGCGTTTTTTAGGCACGCCATCAACCTATAATCATGAGTTCAAATCATGGTTCGCCTCCATTATGTTTCTGTTTTTGTCAGCACCATACCCGTGCTTGTAGTTTTCACCAAAGTTGTAAATGTCTAAGACTTGCGTCACTTTGGGCTGAACCCCTACGTCAAGCTGACACTACGTGGTATAATAAAACTAACTACTGCTCAAAGCTGCATTAAACCCAAAACAAAGAGTGACAGTCTATCTCTGAGATCAACAAATTCAGAATATTTTTATCACTACATTTCAGCTCTTGATATTTCTTTCTACTTACCATGCGTACCTGCCAAGCATTGACTTATTTCGGTAATATGAAACAAAGATCTCCATTTTTCCTTGCCAAAATATTTGCATTCACAGGAACTTATAAACTCTCAGCAACATAAATGTTATTGATGTTTTCCATGTTTTGCAGCATTCCAGAGTTGGAGAGGAACTCCCATAGAGTATTTTTGTGGAAGGGCTTGAAGAATTTGTCATCATCATATGAGGTATGATTCAGTTATTCGATTGGTATTACATATAATTAGTGACTCTATTGACCAAGAGATGCCTTATCATTGTATGAGCAAGTGATAAGTATATATACCTAAACATACTAGGCACTAATTGAAAGATGTCTATGAGGCACATAGTAAACACACATACTATTTGTACTACATGTATAGTACACTATTTATTAGCACTATCTCTCCATGTGGATTCTGAGTTAGAATAGGTCCCTAGCAACCTATGCTGTTTGTAAGAAGTGACTTAATGGATTGGGTCATCAGACTCGCTGACTGGTTGATGGCGTGGATTGTTGATCACAATATCAATCACAGGAATGTCTGGTCCAGACTCGATTAGTTACAGGCTGCCTCCATACACCTGGAATATAGCTGGTGTGCTGCATTTAATATACAAAACCACAAATATTACCATGAGTACATTACCAAGGGTGTTGACCGACATGTTGTCTGTGTTTAACAGTGTTTAGATGCGAGTCGGCCATGGTTGTGTTACTGGATCCTGCACAGTCTAGAAATCCTCAACGAGCCTGTTCCTGAGGATATTGCTTTGCAGTGAGTGCTGGACTTTTATTAGGGTTTTAAAATTACCATTGCATGTCGGACTGGTACTTGAACATTGTCCCAAACTGGTACTTGAACATTGTCCAAAATTGTCCCAAACTTCTGACAGATCATGAATATATGGCAGGTCACCAAAATGAAGCGTCCATTCCAAGTTACAAATGAGGGACCCAAATAGGAATGTTCTATTTACCAAAACAAATCAATAAGCTCCACACTGTCGTGTATTGCATTGGGAGATCCAACTGCACCGCCTCAAGCGGCAATCCCTATCATCAGCAGCTCATCAAACTTTAGTGAGACACAAACACACCAAGAGTTCACAGAACATTCATATTAATCAAGTAGGAAGTGAACGAAGTCGCCATTTCATGACTTTTTTAAGACCAAGGGGCGTAAATCCTAATGGAATGTTTGGGATGGATGACATCACAAAAAAGCAACTCTCCATGTTAATATAGTTTTCTTTAAGGAATTACATTTGGTGTTTAAATTGATTGTTGTGTTATGATTTATGTATCTGACAATATTAGGATTGAAGTTGAATTTGTTGACGTGATGAAGACAGGGCCTCACGTGAGCAACCATGAAGCGCAAACAACTTCACTCCTTAAATGGATAGATAAAAACTTGTATCTGGTTACTTCCAGTAGTGTATGTTAGACAACTTGAAAACAGACAGTTTGCAGTGACACGACACCAAAACCAGTAAATTTTTTAACTTATCCTGCATTACTCCGTATTGCATTTACTGCTATGTTTGACAGAGAGACGAACTGTGTGAGATCCAACTGCTGAAGAAAGTTGTCCCAACCAGCCCAGGAGGCAGCGCCCTCTCACAGTCGGCACGTGACCCGGAAGTCATGACGTCACACCAAAAGACATAACTGCTTTGTCACCTCCACGGACGGACGTACTTTGTATCCCTTGTGGAAATTAAAGCTTATTATTTGTTTTTTATATTTTGCGTGTTTCTACATTCATTATATGCTGCTACATTGTTACCTGTTATGGGCCGTGACCTTAGGGTCTTCCCATTCGTAAATTGTAACGTTTATCGCTCGTCTGTGGCTCACCGGCGCTACAAACTCGACCGGCGCCCCCGAGAATCACCATCTTCGGCGTTCCAGGCGCCTCAAGCTCTCCGACGCCTCACGCTCTCCGGCGCCTCGGGCCAGACTATGTGAAACGGTCGACACCCCAACCCTAGATCTGTTTGCCTATCTGAATGTGGCCAGCAGTCGTCTTCCATTCCACCTGTGCCGGATACGACCGCTGTGGCAGTCGAAGCCTTCCATCGTTCCTGAGAAGGATTACGCGCGTACGCTTTTCCGACTCCGGTTCTCCCTCCCACGGTTCTTCAGAGATCCAGGCCACTCGACCCCTGCCATTGACTTTGGTCTCGCCTAATTGGTCAGCCAGAAGTTGGGTTATCGACCTCCGAAACATAGCCAGAGACAACCCCTGGAACTTCCGGTGTGGTCCAACCACACGGTCTGTTGCCACACCCTCATACCCCGCATGTTATCGTCTGCACGCCTGACACACATGCAGAAAGCCAAGGGCTATTCGGCTAGAGCGACCAAGGCTATTGCTTCAGCCCACCGTCCATCTACAGGGGGACTGTATGCTGATAAATGATGCTTGTTCCAGGCATTTTGTTCTGACAAACACCAGGATCCGATGACAGCGTCACCGCAGATTCTGAATCAGTTCCTTCTGTACTTGTGTAGCACCCGTCGGTTGAGGGCTTACCACCCCCACATACCTGGTCGCCATCTACTCCGTTCTGGCCATCCCGGACGATCGGAGAAAGACGAAAATTCCCGACCTACGGGCCTGGCTGCGCTCGTTCAGTCTTGAAGACCTGAATACCAAGTTTGGACCGCCTGCGTTGGATCTGAATGTGGTCTTCAACGCCCTTCGAACCACTCCCCTCGTCTTCCTTCTACGACCTTAAGTAGAAGACGGGTGTTTCTACTGGTTTTGACTACTGCCGCTCGAGTCCATGTACAGCACGCCCTCGACGTCTCCCATGCCCGGTTCGAATGCGGTACCCAGGGCGCCGTTCATCATGGACCGTACTGGGAGGTCAGCGTAAAGACTCAACTCCCAGGACAGCCTGATAGATCATTCCTTGTCCCCTCCCCCCTCGTCCAGTGTGGGTGCCGAGGATGAGGATGAGCGTCATTATGCCCAGTAAGGGCACTGAAGGTTATTCTACGATCTAAAGACTGCCGCAAGTCTAGGAAACACCTTTTTCTGCCGGTCTCCCCTTCGTCGCTGTCATTGGTCAGCGGGAATACTTTTCCCTGTGGCTCCGGGCGGTCATCCTTAAAGCGTATGAGCCGCCGGATTGGACCCTCCCCCCAAGGCTATTACCTGAAATAAAATGAGATCAGGGCGATCGTATTTACACTGGTTCTTCACGGTATACTGTTCCATCCCGTCGTTCAGGGAAGCCTGTTCGTGGCGATCGGACACCGCCTTCACCAACCACTACTTCCGTGAGGTAGCCTTGAAAGTTGTCGCCGGCGTTCACAGTTTTGGTCCCTGGTTGTAGCCCAACAGGTCATCTATCTCCGACGCCACTGATTCTCCAATACCCTGAGCGGGGCCCGTCGACCTCTCTGGTGTTTATCACCCCAGACGAGACGGCTCTCTTACGTTCCGCATTCGCTCTTAGGTCAGTTTTAGTTTTGGGTTACCCGACTCATTCTATTGCTGTCACCTATCCGGGTTTTACTTTTTGCATCAACTCTCGTTTCCTGACGACAGGAATGGTAGTAGATGTGGACACCGGCGCCGACGCCAACGCTGTTGCTTCTCTGGTACCTGAGCGGTGCCCGTCGACCTCACCGGTGTTCCTTGCCTCCAGCCTAGAGGGCTCTCCTGCGTTTCGCATTCGCTCTTGGGATTGGTCGTAGATTTTGCCGCCGATGCCGCTGATTCTTCGATTCCCCGAGCGGGGCCCGTCGAACTCTCTGGTGTTTATCTCCTCAGATTATAGGGTTCTACTGCGTTTCGCTTTCGCTCTTCGGTAAGTTATATATTTTGGCTACACGCCTCATTGTATTTCGGTTACCTATTCGGGCGTTTCGTTTTTGCATCGACTCTTGTTTCCTGAAGACAGGAATGGTCGTAGATGTTCCGGTCATCACTTGTATGCGGTGCGGATTCATCGGACCTTGACGAGGGTTTAATATGGTTCACATCTGCAGGTATGCCCACCGGCCAAGCCGTCTGATAAAGATGCAATACGGAGTAATGCAGGATAAGTTAAAAAATTTAGTAAAATCTAAATATTTTTTACATTTGTATACTTATCCTGCATTACGAAGTCTAAGTGCCCTCCCTTTCGCTACGCTACCTCCCCACGAAGTTTCAGATGTAATGTTTAAAGCAGTTATGTCTTTTGGTGTGACGTCATGACTTCCGGGTCACGTGCCGACTGTGAGAGGGCGCTGCCTCCTGGGCTGGTTGGGACAACTTTCTTCAGCAGCTGGATCTCACACAGTTCGTCTCTCTGTCAAACATAGCAGTAAATGCAATACGGAGTAATGCAGGATAAGTATACAAATGTAAAAAATATTTAGATTTTACTAAATTTGTGGATGTACACAATATGTAGTCTTTGGATTTCAGTTATTGTGTTTCCTAAGTGACGTGACAGATTGCTGTAAGCTGTTTTCTAGTAAACAGAGTCCCATTAACATGTGTATGTATTTGTGTAGAGTCGTGGACTTCCTCAAGCGGTGCCAGTCCCCAACAGGCGGCTATGCAGGTAAGTAGGATGATTACAGACTGATGTCATAATGTTGGATGTTACTCACAAGTGTCACTGGACTGTTTGGCCTTAACTCAATTATTTACAGGCTGGTGTCATATAGCTGGAATATTGCTGTGTGCGATCTTATTCATTATGACATCACATTCATAAAGAAACTCATAAAGGACACCTGTGTTCCAGGAAAGTTCAAACAATAGCTGGCTTTTAAAATGGAGACAGGTAGTGTGACTAAGGGAGGTGATTAGAGCTACTTGATATTCAACCCAATAATAATATTGAATATAAATAAGTTCCTCCTAAAAAAGCTTCCAATAGTTACTGTATATGGATGTTGTGCAGGTGGCCCGGGACAGAACGCTCACCTGGCTCCCACCTACGCCGCTGTCAACGCCCTCTGTATCCTGGCACCAATCACTGACGAGGCTTACAAGGCAATCAACAGGTAATTAACACGCCAATTGGTTACTTCAAATTTTGGAAGGGGCACAGGTAGCCCATGGGTCTTAAGGCTCGGCAGTTTGCTGTCCAGAGTTGCATTGCTTTGTCATACCAGGATCTGCTGTTTGTGGATCAGAATCCTGATTGGTGGAATAAACTCCTTACCATAGAAAATTGAAATAATTGTGGGATCTGCTCCCCCTTTTTTCAGAAACCTTACATGTTAACTGCACCCTCAGCCAGGTCACTTTGTTTGTCACCTAGGTATTATGTGCACCCCCATTTTTTTTCAAATTCTCAATCCACCTCTGTGTCTTGTATCATATTGTTACCTTAGTTTTGAGATAAATAATGTAGTGCACCAAGCAGGTTTTTTAAATCACTATTCTTTTAAAATAGGACCTGCCAGCAGGACTCGCCATAATGCTTAAACTTCATCGTCATCATCATCCATTGTTTTTCAACCCATGAAATCTCTAACACCTTTTCGTCCTTGTGTTATTACTATATATATGCAATTTTTTATCAAAAGTAAAGATACAATAATTGCAAATTGTTTGCAAATTTAGAAAAATACAATCAAAATTCATAATTATTACAGTCACATATTTTATATTGTACATTTCACTAAAATAACTTTTGTATTTCAGGGAGACATTATACAAATTTTTAATGCGGATGCGGATGCCAGATGGCTCGTTCAAGATGCACGATGGTGGAGAGGTGGACATCAGGTATTTGACACTCTATTCTCACGGCATTATAGATTGCTGTGTGACTATAACTGGATCAGAATAGGTCCCATATACAGTCAAGTCTCGTTAATCCGACACTCGGCTTTATCCGACACGAATGATGGGAACCGATTGAATCAGTGCTATTTAGTCCCGTTAATCCGACATTCTCGCACTCCGACTCTGACACACCTAATTTGCACCGAATTGCCGAAATCACTCATTAATCAGTCTCGTTAATCCGACACAGTGATCAGCGTACTCCGTGGTCATCTGACCGCGAGTACACAACCCCGTGTTTTGACACGCACTGGCTGCAGAGATTAACTTAACAATTAACAGGAAAAGCTATTCAAACCTGTATGTACAAAGCTATACAAATGTAGTTTACAAATTGAAGCCAGATAAATGTGCATGAAGCCAGTTTAAAATACGAACAGGTATATAAAACATGGTCGACTGGTATGTAAACAAGAAAGCATGGATGACTTCATTAATATTCAAAGCCTGGCTACTGATCTTGGATCGGCAAATGCGATTGGAGCAACGCCACGTGGTATTGCTGTTGGACAACGCCCCATCCCATGCTACTGTCGACATAACTAATGTGAAATGTCACTTTTTGCCACCAAACACCACATCGCACATTCAGCCACTAGATGCCGGGATCATAAAGAATTTCAAGCTTTATTATAAGAAACAGCAAATGAAATTACACCTCGACAATGTTGATGCTGAAGAACTGACGTCCGATTTTCGATCACAAATCACTTATTCTCTTTCTGATTAAATCCTCTTTGGGGCACTTATTGCATTTTCCTTGCTCAAGAAAATCTATATGACATAGTTGTAACCATTTTCCTTAATAAAAAATGTTACCACACAAAAAACTTCGTTTTTGTATGATATACGACCACCCTTACGGGGCCTCACCCCCAACGGCGCCTCACGCCAGGGGGAGCAACTCTCACCCAAATCACTTTCCTTATGTCATCTGTAAGAGACAGACGTGTTGATTTTTCACACAAGAAAAAAATAAGAGAAATCTATCGTTCGACAAGAACCATGGCTGACCAAACTGTATGTATGGTACATTTCTTTCTTTGCAAAGGCGTAATACCTTGCATTGTGAAGTTATAGAGTTGTAATAATACGCCACGTGCACGGTACCTTTGAATTCAAATGGCCGTAATGGCGTCCATATTGTAGTTCCACGGGCTGATACATGTAACACCAAGGCCATTAAGAAACGGCTTGGGGTTTTGTTATATCATACAGCATTGGTCTACAATTTTTTCCTTTACAAAACCCAAGGTGGTGTGTTAATTCATAAACTACACTTACCTTTTTTACGGGTTTTTACACCTTAGCGCGTAACACGCCCCTTTGGTGTTATAATTATACTACACATTGGCTATTAGTATCGCGTTACAAATCGCATTCTACATTACGCCTTTGCTTCTAGTTTCACAATTTATGCACGTTTCTTTCCGATCTTTATATCGCACTGATACACGTTGATACCCTTCCCGCCCACCTCAGAAATTACGGTCTTGTTTACAAGACCTTCAAACTGTGTACGGGTTGTTCTAAGACAGGCACGAACGCTGCCGAATATGTCTGGCGGAGGACATTGCCTTTACCCCCCAAAAGAGACAAGTTGACTTGTTCCACTTTAAAGAGGTCTATTAAAGGCGGGGGTAGATATCAGATCTACTAAGACATCCCCCCCTCCCCATCTAAAAAGGGTAAAAAAGCTGCCGAGATTGTCTCCCCCGCTCCCTCTCCGGGGGCCGGGGGAGAAGGCTCGAGGGTCCCCGTAGTAAGCACTGCACCCTCTCCTGCACTGTCTTTGGCAGACTTTTCTGCGTTACTTAAGTCGCAGATGGCGTCGATGATGGAGGAGGTAAAGTCTCAGCTCCGAGAGGAGATGCGGACCGAGCCTTCCCCGTTGTCGGCGCCGGACGCGGCTTCGAGACCTTGTGATATGCCCGGCGTCGGCCGAGGCAGGCAACTTGGTCTCGGGGACGATCTCAGACCGGGCTTCGGCGCCGGCTCGAGGTCGCTCCCCAGCGGAGGGGTGGCGGGCGCCGGCCCGTGCACTACCGACGCACAATTTTTCCCCAGCGGAGCCAGACGCCTCTTCCGAGGCCGAGGCTTTCACTAGTGGATTCGTAGCCCGGAGCCAGGGGGGTTCCCTTGGTCTCGGGGACGATCCGAGACCGAGCTTCGGCTCCGGCTCGAGGTCGCTCCCCAGCGTAGTGGTGGCGGGCACCGGCCCGTGCACTACCGACGCACAATTTTCCCTAGCGGAGCCAGACGCCTCTTCCGAGGCCGAGGCGTCCACTAGTGGATACCTAGCCCGGAGCCAGGTTGGTTCCCTTTGTCTCGGGGACGATCCGAGACCGAGCTTCGGCTCCGGCTCGAGGTCGCTCCCCAGCGTAGTGGTGGCGGGCACCGGCCCGTGCACTACCGACGCACAATTTACCTTAGCGGAGCCAGACGCCTCTTCCGAGGCCAAGGCTTTCACTAGTGGATACCTAGCCCAGTGCCAGGTGGGTTCCCTTGAACCTCCGGCACCTCGGCACCGGGACTCGGCCTCGGGCCGGGTGCAGAGACACGTGCGGGACAGGATTGTCCATGTACTGCCTCAGGTTGCTGCGCCCATGCCAGAGTCGGAGACACCCAACTTGACTAAGGTCAAGCAGGGCCGGCGGTTGCCCCCCCTTTCCCGTGTGCGGTGCGGAGTTGAAGGCTGCTTACATATGCTTCGAGGAGCAATATCATAATGCATGCCAACAGCTCCGTGTGTCCGTACACTCCGCGTATCTGTCGGCTGTACAGAGGGAGTTAGCGGGAGAGGGGCCGGCCGACTCTTCGGAGTTGGCCGCGCAACTAACATTATCTTGCGCGGGACGCTATTCGTAGCTGTGCATCGCAGATGATGTGCGCTGTTATGTGCATGCGCAGGCGGTGGATGTCGGTATCTAAATACTCGACTTACACACGCCAAGACCTACTTGCTTTGCCGTATAAGAGGGTGCCACCCTCTTCCCTGGGGCTCAGCAGGCGGTCCGAGAGGCTGCTCAATTGTATACTTCCATCAAAGACTCATAAGGCCTTGTTGGAGGTACCAAGCGTTAAAACCGCGTAAGCGGGCCTCTCCAATTGTCCCCTCCTACGCTAACGCACGGGTCAGACGTCCACACCTGCTTGGAAGCCGCCGCTTCCTTCAGGTATAAGGGCGCCGTGAGGAGCAAGAGAGGCACGGGCCGGGGCAAGGCAGCTGGTCGAGGCCAAAAGCTTTTTCGCGGGGCTGGGAACGATGGGTTCCCATTAGCGCCCGAAGAGCCCCGGGTGAACCCATAGTCGCAAGTTATCGGGAAAACTCATCCGCTCCTCCACTTTTCCGGGATAAAGCACACACCGGTGCCTGCTACCCGAGAGAAGGCGGAATTCCTCCGTGCCGAGGTCGACGCACTTCTTATGAAAGCTGCGATCGAACCGGGTCCCGAGGGACAGGAAAGCGAGGGCTTCTACTCGACTTGTTTCCTAGTCACCAAACAGTGATCTCAACTGTCGAGACAGGAGAATGGCTAACGTCAATAGACTTAAAATACGCCTATCTCCACATACCAATACATCCAGAGTTCAAGAAATACCTGAGGTTTTCTTTCGACGGGAGGTGTTATCAGTTCAGGGTTCTACCATTCGGGATCTCCACGGCCCCGAGGGTGTTCACCAAGCTGATGTTGATTCCCGCCCAAGTGGCCAGGTCAAAAGGTCGGTTCTGCCATCCGTACCTCGACGACTAGGTTACTAAGAGCTCTATTGCAATCCCTGAGTCAGATAGCTACACAACAAGTGATAGATATTCTGATCACTCTAGGGTGGATGGTCAATCTCAAGAAGTCAGATCTGAGCCCCACTCAGAATCTAGTCTTCCTAGTGGCTAATTTCAACACGGTGAGAGGACGTGTATCTCTGTCACAAGATATCAAGTCCCTTAAGCGCAAGTCACACTGCTCGTACATGGCTCCAGTTACTGGACAACATGGCGGCGACAGTGGATTTGGTCTGGCGGGCGCGCTTGAGAATGAGTCCCATTCAACAAGCACTCCGTCGACTTTGGGCGAACTCGGAAGATCTCGAGACTGTGCTCGAGACTCCGTAGTGGCTCATTACACACCTCCAGTGTTGGACCGAGGTCGGGAATCACTCCCGTTCCGTCTCTCACAGTTCAAACAGACGCGTCACTCTCCGGCTGGGGAGGCGTTCTGAATGATCACACTGCCTCGGGACTATGGTCCCAGCAGGAGATCAAACTGCATATCAATGTGCTAGAACTGAGAGCGGTCAGGTTGGTGTTCCAACGCTTCCCGGATCTGCTTCGTGGCCAAGTGGTTGGTCTAGAGATGGACAACCAAACGGCGATGACTTACATCCGGAAGCAGGGGGGAACGGCGTCTCCGTCGCTTCGACGAAAGACGTGGCAGTTCCTACTATAGTGCGACTCTCACGATATCAGGGTGCTACCTGTTTATCTCCCGGGGGTGGACAACGTCCGTGCGGACGCTCTGTCTTGCCGGATCCTCGCTCCTCACGAGTGGAGGCTCGACCCGGGGATATTCGGGATTTTCTCCCTGTTATACAGGTCGTTACAGGTGGATCTGTTTGCTTCTGGGTTAAATAACCAGACACCAACGTTCTGCTCCCGAGTCCACGACCCGAGGTCGGTGGCACCGGACGCCTTTCAGCTAGATTGGACGGACAGTTCTGTGGGCATTCTCCCCAGTACCTCTGATTTCCAAGGTCCTGTCTCAGCTAGGCACTCAGCCTGCGCGACTAATTGTGCTCCTGGCACCTCTTTAGTCGGCGCAGAGTGGGTTTCCAGTAATACTCAGGTTTCTGGCTCAGCCTCCTGTTATATTACCTTTACGACCGGACCTCCTATCCCAGAACGGGGCCCTCCACCCGAATCTCAGGATTCAATGGGTGGCTTGGCCACTGTCAGGAATCGCCTCCAGAAGAGCGGTATTCCTGCACGAGTTGCAGACACAATACTGGCTTCGCGGAGGGATTCGACAAACGTTCAGTACGATAGATAGGCCTGCTATGCGCCCAGGTGTGTCGATAGAGGGATTGCAGATCTTTTTTCTGCAGATCTCGTATCCGTGCTTGAGTTTCTCCAGTCGCGACTAGATGACGGCCTGGCCGCATCAACAGTCCGAGGGTACTCTACAGCTATCGCAGCTTTTCACGTCCCTGTCGACGGGGCACTTCTGGGTGCACACCAATTAGTGCAGCGCTTTTTAGCAGGTGTGGACAGGATCCGACCGCCAGTCCGGCGGATCAGTCCTCCTTGGGACTTGTCAATCATTCTAGATTGGCTGTCCGGTCCTTCCTTTCGGGATCTGTCGTCTCTCTCTCTTCAGCTGTTGAGCTGGGAGACGGCGTTCCTTGTGGTGGTAACGTCCGGCAGACGGGTAGGCGACATTCGTGTTATGTCAGCCGATCCCAAAATAACTGTCTTCCATGGGGTCGATAAATATCACCGGGACAGTCAGTTTTCGTCTACCGGACTATTACCGTCCTAGGGTCGCACACGATTCCACGTGAACGGCTCCTATTGAGCTACCTGCTCTTTCACAGCCTTCCTCGTCGGGGACCACTGCAAGACATGCTCATGTCTTGGATGTCCGCACGACTCTCAAAGCCTATATCAGCAGAAATATGGGTGTCCGTAAGGATAACCAACTATTTTGCTGTTACTGCGGTAGGAAGGTTGGCTCACCTGCGAGTAAACAATCTATCTCGAGGTGGATAGTTTCAAACATTTGTACAGCGTATACGCTTACAGGCAGGGACCCCCCTACCAGGTTGAAGGCTCATTAGGTTAGAGCAGTGGCTGCGTCAAAAGCGTACGCCGCGGCTCTGCCCATTGAGCAGATCTGCTCCGCGGCTATTTGGAGCCAGCCGAGCACGATTCATCAAACCTTACCAACTCGACAAACACTCAAGCGAGCGTACTCGGTTTGGTCAGTCAGTTCTCCGAACTGGGCAAAGTTCTAATCTCTAGCTGATTGAGCATTCGAGATTTTAGACAGTCTTCCGGTTATACTGCTCAGTAATGGTCCGGATTTTATCTTCTGCGGTCGATAAATATCAGTCCTTACTACTCGATAATACTCGTATTTTGCGCACGCACTCCTTCGATCCTCGGGGACCCTCTGGCCTAGCTCAGCGCTGGTTATGGTCTCTCGTGATCTACGCCCTTATATCACTTGTTCAAAAAAGTGTTGGGGGGTGGGAGGTGTTTCGAGTTCTCAACTTATGACAAGCCGCAAAAACAGGCTTTATCATAATATATGGTCGACCACGCCCTGTCTCTAGCCCCCGCCTTTCGACGGTGGTGCCTCACGATAAGGTTGGTTCCATTTATTGAACTCAATATTTTATTCTGTTGAATAATCAAATACGATGTATTTATTTACGCCTGTTGCTGACGGATGCCACTTCCTAGATTATCTTTGGGAGTCTGTCTTGATGCAATAAGTGCCCCAAGGAGGATTTAATCAGAAAGAGAATTTTACAAACCTGTAGAGGTTATGAATTCTCTGATGAAATCCTCCTTGGGGCACGGCCACCCACCTCCCCACATTCCGTCAGCATTTGACATATGGAAAGTGATTTGGGTGAGAGTTGCTCCCCCTGGCGTGAGGCGCCGTTGGGGGTGAGGCCCCGTAAGGGTGGTCGTATATCATACAAAAACGAAGTTTTTTGTGTGGTAACATTTTTTATTAAGGAAAATGGTTACAACTATGTCATATAGATTTTCTTGAGCAAGGAAAATGCAATAAGTGCCCCAAGGAGGATTTCATCAGAGAATTCATAACCTCTACAGGTTTGTAAAAATTTCGTTAATCGGACATACTCGTTAATCCGACACAATTATGTGCAACCAACGATGTCGGATTAACGAGACTTGACTGTATGCCAGACTTCAGAGTTAGAAACCGTCACGAGTCCTATAGTCCTTGCCAATAAGCCCTAGTAGACATTTGCCCTTTTTAAGGGTTTTCCTACATGTCATCATTATAAGAACTAGGGGACTAAAACTGTTAGTTATGTCACTGCAGACTGCCTCATTGGTCTATGAGGGTGAAGGTCGCCCTGTTGCATCATACCAAAAGACATTAAAAGATGGTACTTGTTGTTACCCTGACTATCACTCGGCGTGTGCTTCCTAGTCCAGACTTGTCCTGGTCTTATATTGCTGGTCCAACGAGATTCCATGCAACACCTTAACATGAATACCCCACTCAGATACATTATTCTGACTCCAAGCCGACCAGTCCTTGTTTCATCCCCTAATGCGGTGCGTCAGATCTTTTAGCATCTTTTGGTATGAAGCTTGGGATCGAACTACTGACCTTCCGCTCTCTGGGTAGATGCTCTATCCTCTAGACCACAGATTAAATGACTTTTGACTGTATAAGCACAGGTCAGTAACATGAGTGGTTGTATTCAGGGGAGCCTACTGTGCAGCCTCCGCAGCACGACTGACTAATACAGCCACAAAGGAGCTATTTAAAGACACGTCACTGTGGATTGCAAGGTGAGTGAGTGCCACTGTTGATAGTTCTCTGGGGTTGACTCAAACAGGTGTGTGGGGTCTAGATCCAGGTTAGAATTGGTCTTCAGCAACCCATTCTTGTCTCCCCCCTTGAAGATCCATGTTAGAATTGGTCTTCAGCAACCAATGCTCATCGTAAGAGGTGGCTACTGTGATCAGTGGTCAGACTCGCTAATTTGGTTGATGCATGTCATATCCCGATTGTGTAGATTGATGCTCATGATATCATTCATTGGATTGACTCAATTTTTTACAGACCATTGTCCTATACCTTGAATGTTTCCGAGTTTAACAACAGACAAACAAACTGAGGCTTCCTGAATCCTGTTAAGTTTACTGATGTTTTGTATCACCTCTCGACCATTCTCTGCATGGCACTCAGCATGGTTATGCTTGTAGTTGGGAAAATGCCTAACACATGTGTTGTTATAACTGCTTGCCATGCCTGTTGGTATGCCTATCATGTCTCCTATCCCATACCTGCCAGAAGGTGAGATTTACTGATTTTGTTAAACAAGTGTAACCATGGTAACAGCATGTTATAGTGACAAGACACAGTCACCAGCATGTTCTACGTCAGGTACTACAATCGGCACAACTACTCAGAAGCTTTGCAAGAAATCATTTTAATGAAATGTCCCTTGGTGGTGATGCTCTGTGTAGTGATTACCCGACAGATTCTGTGTGTGGTGATTACCTGGCAGATTCTGTGTGTGGTGATTACCTGACAGATTCTGTGTGTGGTGATTACCTGGCAGATTCTGTGTGTGGTGATTACCTGACAGATTCTGTGTGTGGTGATTACCCGACAGATTCTGTGTGTGGTGATTACCTGACAGATTCTGTGTGTGGTGATTACCTGACAGATTCTGTGTGTGATGATTACCTGACAGATTCTGTGTGTGGTAATTACCTGGCAGATTCTGTGTGTGGTGATTACCTGACAGATTCTGTGTGTGGTAATTACCTGACAGATTCTGTGTGTGGTGATTACCTGGCAGATTCTGTGTGTGGTGATTACCTGACAGATTCTGTGTGTGGTAATTACCTGACAGATTCTGTGTATGGTGATTACCTGACAGATTCTGTGTATGGTGATTACCTGACAGATTCTGTGTATGGTGATTACCTGACAGATTCTGTGTATGGCAATTACCTGGCAGATTCTGTGTATGGTGATTACCTGACAGATTCTGTGTGTGGTAATTACCTGACAGATTCTGTGTGTGGTGATTACCTGACAGATTCTGTGTGTGGTGATTACCTGACAGATTCTGTGTATGGTGATTACCTGACAGATTCTGTGTGTGGTGATTACCTGACAGATTCTGTGTATGGTGATTACCTGACAGATTCTGTGTATGGTGATTACCTGGCAGATTCTGTGTATGGTGATTACCTGGCAGATTCTGTGTGGTTTTTAAGGACAATGCTCTGTGTTGTGATTACCTGACAGATTCTGTGTATGGTGATTACCTGGCAGATTCTGTGTATGGTGATTACCTGGCAGATTCTGTGTATGGTGATTACCTGGCAGATTCTGTGTGGTTTTTAAGGACAATGCTCTGTGTTGTGATTACCTGACAGATTCTGTGTATGGTGATTACCTGACAGATTCTGTGTGTGGTGATTACCTGACAGATTCTGTGTGTGGTGATTACCTGACAGATTCTGTGTATGGTGATTACCTGGCAGATTCTGTGTGGTTTTTAAGGACAATGCTCTGTGTTGTGATTACCTGACAGATTCTGTGTGTGGTGATTACCTGACAGATTCTGTGTGTGGTGATTACCTGACAGATTCTGTGTGTGGTGATTACCTGACAGATTCTGTGTGTGGTGATTACCTGACAGATTCTGTGTGTGGTGATTACCTGACAGATTCTGTGTGTGGTGATTACCTGACAGATTCTGTGTGTGGTGATTACCTGACAGATTCTGTGTGTGGTGATTACCTGACAGATTCTGTGTGTGGTGATTACCTGACAGATTCTGTGTATGGTGATTACCTGGCAGATTCTGTGTATGGTGATTACCTGGCAGATTCTGTGTGGTTTTTAAGGACAATACTCTGTGTGGTGATTACTGACAGATTCTGTGTGGTTTTTAAGGACAATTCTCTGTGTGGTGTTTACTGGCAGAATGCTCAGAAAACTTCAGAAGTCTGAGCTTGATTTGATACATGTATGTACCACTGACAATTCTGTTTCCAGCTGTCAGACGTACGAGGGAGGATTTGCAGGCTACCCTGGACAAGAAGCCCATGGTGGCTACTCGTTCTGCGGCCTGGCTACTCTGGTTCTACTCAATGGTATTCAGTACTGTAACCTCAAACAGGTTCTGGTGAGCACAAACTTAAACTCCAAATAGCAGACACAGTAATATCAATTCATGAGCGGTAGTTAGTTTCATGTTTCAGATGTTGAAAGGCAGTGTTACAGTTCTAACTTTGTATAAAAAGGTTTTCATTTTGTAGACATTTTTCTGTGCCTTTCAATGCTCAAGGATTGTATGACAAAATTTAAATATTTGATCTCATAAACATATAAGAAAACTTTTGATGCTATGCACCAACATGGCGTCAAACTCTTTGTTTGCTAATTATATCAACGATAAAATAATTTCCCCAAAATATTTGATCAACACGGGCATGTTTAAAACTAAATGAATACTATTGTTTTCTTTTCATTTAGTGTTTTACATCTTAAAACATGTTTTTGACTACAATGTGATTACCTCCCTTACATACTGAATTTGATAAACAATGTCTTTCCACAGTAAATGAGCGCAGTAGCCTATTCAGGCTGAAACTAGGTCAAGCCACATTCTGCTTGTGATGAGCCGGCATGTAGGCACTTTCTCCTCATTATTGGGGTAAACTGTCTCACAAATGTCCAGGGTTTAAGTAAAACTAAAACTGAACAACTAACAAAATATTGATAACTACTAGACCAAATTTGACATGTAATAATTTTTATTTTAAAAACTAGAAAGTACTTTCTATTCAATAACCATAAGGCGATGTTTTGATTACCCATAGATTTTTCAGAAAACAGAGCGGTCAGGTTAAAGCGTTTGCTCGTCACGCCGAAGACCCGGGTTCGATTCCTGACATGGGTACAATGTGTGAAGCCCATTTCTGGTGTCCCCCACCGTGATATTGCTGGAATATTGCTAAAAGCGGCGTAAAACCATACACACTCGCTCACTCACATTTCAGAAAACTATTACAAATAGAAAAATAAAGTATTGCAGAAAGTTACATGAACACAGACACATTTAGAAACAAAACAAATATGCTTGTTTGGATTCATTATTTGTTCACTGGTTCCACTTGTATATGTTTCACTTTTGCTTTGCCTCATGTACAGTTACCGTAATCGACGTCATAAGCGCCCCGCTCTAATGAGCGCCCACGGCAATATTTGCAAATATATTTGCTAGTGAACAATCCCAATTAGCAGCCCTCTCCTATTGATCAATGGACAAAAAACATATTTATTCGTGTATATGCACCCTTAATTATAGGCAGTTGATTTCGTGAATAATATATCTATTGTGTATGATACACATATATCATTTCAGGCTGTCAGCATAAACCACAAAATTTATCTTTCAATTCTGTTTTTTTCCACCAAAATAATATTCTAATAAGAGCCCCCTATTTCTAAATTTGAGAGTGCCCTTGGCGCTTATTACGTCCAATACGGTACCTCCTATATTTACCAAATTCAGGAACTTCATTGGAAACTTCATTCTATGAATTTAGGGATTTCATAATAAATATTACTGAACAACTAACAATATGACAGGAATGTGTTAAACACGTATACAAAAATGAATTTTCACAGACAATTGTAGACAAAATTACAAATGCATGAATGTCCTATGTACAAACCCTGTCCAACCCATGCCACCTCTGTGACGCCCTATGTCCAGGATGTCGAGCTTAAGTGACAGAGAACCATCAGGAGTAACCGTGAGACCTTCTACCATGAGTACAGAATAACCTCCCTTCATACTTCCCCTCAGTGACCACCTCCGTGTTGGAGTGGTCTAGTGGTAGGTATCAGGTTCTAGCTATTGCCGGAGAGAGCTGGAAGTCACGTGTGTCAATGAGAAATGCTAGCAGTTTTATCTCTTATGGCAAAAATGTGTTGTATGTTTTCATAAACATACACTGTTCAGAGAATATTGCGGACTCTGACCTGAATTCCAAATCAACGTGCACATAAAAAGCATTGGTTCTGATAGTAATGATGTGAATATTGTGAAAGACCTATAAATATTTTTTCTACGTTGCCTGAATATTTTGTTTCAGAGGTGGACAGCGAATCGTCAGATGAGATATGAAGGGGGTTTCCAGGGACGAACCAACAAGCTGGTAGATGGGTGCTATTCATTCTGGCAGGGAGGGAACTTCCCCCTGCTTCACATGGTGCTCTGCTCTCAAGGTAACCATGAAAACTGCCCTCAAATAATCCTGTATGGCATCGGGTCCAAGCGGTTAAGTTACTGGTCCAAGCTGTCAAAATACTGGTCCAAGCGGTTAAATTAGTGGTACAAGCTGTTAAGTTACTGGTCCAAGCTGTTCAGATAGTGGTCCAAGCTGTTCAGATAGTGGTCCAAGCTGTTCAGATACTGGCCCAAGCTGTTCAGATAGTGGTCCAAGCTGTTCAGATACTGGTCCAAGCTGTTCAGATACTGGTCCAAGCTGTTCAGATAGTGGTCCAAGCTGTTCAGATAGTGGTCCAAGCTGTTCAGATAGTGGTCCAAGCTGTTCAGATAGTGGTCCAAGCTGTTCAGATACTGGTCCAAGCTGTTCAGATAGTGGTCCAAGCTGTTCAGATACTGGCCCAAGCTGTTCAGATAGTGGTCCAAGCTGTTCAGATAGTGGTCCAAGCTGTTCAGATAGTGGTCCAAGCTGTTCAGATACTGGTCCAAGCTGTTCAGATACTGGTCCAAGCTGTTAATGTGTGTTCTCCTCTTGTTGCCAGATGACCAGGCCCTAATCCTGTATGGCATCGGGTCCAAGCGGTTAAGTTACTGGTCCAAGCTGTCAAAATACTGGTCCAAGCGGTTAAATTAGTGGTACAAGCTGTTAAGTTACTGGTCCAAGCTGTTCAGATAGTGGTCCAAGCTGTTCAGATAGTGGTCCAAGCTGTTCAGATAGTGGTCCAAGCTGTTCAGATAGTGGTCCAAGCTGTTCAGATACTGGCCCAAGCTGTTCAGATAGTGGTCCAAGCTGTTCAGATACTGGTCCAAGCTGTTCAGATACTGGTCCAAGCTGTTCAGATAGTGGTCCAAGCTGTTCAGATAGTGGTCCAAGCTGTTCAGATAGTGGTCCAAGCTGTTCAGATAGTGGTCCAAGCTGTTCAGATACTGGCCCAAGCTGTTCAGATAGTGGTCCAAGCTGTTCAGATACTGGTCCAAGCTGTTCAGATACTGGTCCAAGCTGTTCAGATAGTGGTCCAAGCTGTTCAGATAGTGGTCCAAGCTGTTCAGATAGTGGTCCAAGCTGTTCAGATAGTGGTCCAAGCTGTTCAGATACTGGTCCAAGCTGTTCAGATAGTGGTCCAAGCTGTTCAGATACTGGCCCAAGCTGTTCAGATAGTGGTCCAAGCTGTTCAGATAGTGGTCCAAGCTGTTCAGATAGTGGTCCAAGCTGTTCAGATACTGGTCCAAGCTGTTCAGATACTGGTCCAAGCTGTTAATGTGTGTTCTCCTCTTGTTGCCAGATGACCAGGCCCTGAGTGCCCATCGGTGGATGTTCCATCAAGAGGCGCTGCAGGAATACATCTTGATTTGTTGTCAGCACTCCGGGGGAGGTCTCATTGATAAACCTGGAAAGTAAGTAATGGATCATCCAAATATGGTATTGTTACTCACTACTCAGCGGGTGTCAGGATTATAATGTAACAGTGTAACTTTTTATGATACCCGTGAAGATCCGGGGTAGAAAATGTCGTAAGAGGCGACTAACGGGATCGGATGGTCAGGCTCGCTGACTTAGTTGATGCATGTCATCGATCCCAATTGCGTGGATTGATGCTCATGATATTAATTACTGGATTGTCTGGTCCAGACTCGATTATTTACAGACCGCCATCATATAGCTGGAATATTGCTGAGTGCGGCTTTAAACAAGAAATCAACCAACCAACCAACTACTTATGATACCAGTGAAACATTGCAGTTGCACAGGGCTCAGTGATATTATGCAGTCATTGACTTTGTATGAGGTCAGTACCTCTTTTTATGGACCCCCAAAAAGCACATTTTTTAACTTACCCTGGATTTCTCCTTAATGCATTTACTGCTTGTTCTTGACAGAGAGAAAGAGCTGTGAGACGTCTTGCTGAAGAAGTTGTGGTTTCTTTGTGATTGTTATTCATACTTACGCTTTATGAATTCATATCTTTTATGTTTTTTATGCCATAGCATTAATATTTATCGCCTGGCGGTGGTGTTTACCATGGTAAATATCAGGTGTATTGTTGTTCCTGTTAGCCATTTTGAATTCACAACGTGGTCACATATTTTTGTGTCATGCATTCTGTATTCTCTGTACTACTTGGAACTTCAATTCATTATAGTACCCTAGCGATATTATTAAACTGGTGGTTTTTCGCATTGTTGGAGTAAACTTGTTCTTCGTAATCCCACATGGCTGAGATAAAAGATTAAAGCATACATAATCATGTGAGGGCACATTTTCATTACACTCTGCTATCATTGGAGATAAATGCCCTGTTGTACCAAGTGTCAGGGATATAAGTCAGGGTGGGAGCCTCATCTATGGTATCTGAAATACACCACCATCTGCTCCCAGAGTACTAGGTGTAAAGATTGTCTGCTACTCTCCCCTACAGCTTTCTCCAAAATACCTACAGGTATCTTGCAATAGGTAGACACAGCAGGCATGGAAATTCGTCTCAGTCAGAAAATGTCTGACTCATACAAGTCTGCCAACCACTACCCCCCTCACTAGCCACGACCATCTCTTCTTCAGGCTGGATCCCTCCGGTGTTCACCTGCACACCTGTATCTTCATCGGGGATGATAACCACCTCTTCTCCATTGATACAGTCTCTTCCAATCGTCGTTGACACCCGTGAAGATCTGGGGTAGAAAAGGTCTTCAGCAACCAATACTTGTGACTATGCTTGTCATAAGAGACGACTAACTGTATCAGGTGGTCAGGCTCGCTGACTTGGTTGATGCATGTCAAGTATCACATTTGCGTGGATCGATGATCATGATCTCAATCACTGGATTGTCTGGTCCAGACTTGATTATTTACAGACCGCCATCATATAGCTGGAATATTGCTGAGTGCTGCGTTAAACAACAAACAAACAAAAAATGATACGTCACTAGCACCGTCATCCACACTCTCTTCGTTAATTATCATCCTCATCATCCACGGTCATGCCCCGCATGGCGCTGACGACCTTGAGCTCATCTCTCCCTGCGTATTACCTGCTCTCAATGGCGCCAGTGGTGCCACAGTTTCAGGCGCCTCCAGGAATTGGACCTCCATCCTTCCTCCCAGTGCATTCCCAGCCACCTCAGTCACCTTACATGGACCCTGCTTCGTTTCATCTGATGCAGACAATGTTCTAGCAAGCCATGCCTGGGTTTACAGCTCCTCCAGCCTCTACGACGCTTTCTGCGCCTCCAGCCTCTACGATGCTCTCGGCACCTCTAGCCTCAGTAACGTCCCCCAGTGGATCCAGTGGATCTTGGTGATGCCTCTTCAATCCGCTCTTCATCATCTTGCAGCTCTGCCTCTGCCTGTCCTGTGGGATACTGTCTGGTCCCATCCAATGTCTGTTGCTCCTGACCATATGATCAACGATATGATTACGACTTTGGATGAAGACTTTGCCAAGCTGTGAGAGGCCGGCCTGGGACCTGAACGTAGTTCTTACTCTGCTGAGAGGCGGGCCCTTTGAGCCACTCCGCTTGGTGTCTTACTAGAACCTCACCACGAAGAAGGTTTTCCTCTTGGCTCTGAGGGAAATACACACTCTAGACATCACCTGTGTGAAATTTGAGCACTGAGTGCATGGAGCTATTCATCTTGGGCTGTAATGGGACTTCAAAGCCAAGAATCAACTCACAGGACAGCCCGATAGATCCTTCACCATCCTGCCTCTATCTTCGATAGTGGGGGTTGAAGAGAACCAGGAACTTCTACCATGTCCGGTGCAAGCGCTGAGATGCTTCATTTGATGCTTCAAGAACAGTTGAGGACAACATCGTTGCCTCTTCATCCCAGTATCGGGGCGATTGGGTAGCCTAGTGGTTAAAGTGTTCGCTCGTCACGTCGATTCCCAAAATGGGTACAATGTGTGAAGCCCATTTCTTCTATCCCCACCGTGGAATATTGCTTAAAGCAGGGTCAAACCATACTCACTCATCCTGGTATATCCAACGTCCCAGGTAGAAGTCAGCTGCAACATGATCACCCTGTGTCTTCGTGCCATCATTCTTCAGACCTGTGAGGCCGCCGCCATCATTCTTCAGGCCTGTGAGGCCGCCGCCATCATCCTTCAGGCCTGTGAGGCCGCCGCCATCATTCTTCAGGCCTGTGAGGCCGCTGCCATCATTCTTCAGGCCTGTGAGGCCGCCGCCATCATTCTTCAGGCCTGTGAGGCCGCCGCCATCATTCTTCAGGCCTGTGAGGCCGCCGCCATCATTCTTCAGGCCTGTTAGGCCGCCGCCATCATTCTTCAGGCCTGTGAGGCCGGCGGACTGGATCCTCCGAGAGCCAACAACCCTAATCTGGGGCAGTTGCCTCTACCATGGCGCTTCACAATAACTACTCCATCCTTGCCATTTTGGAAGGCTGTTTCTGGCACTCAGACACCATCTTCACCAGTCACTACCTGCGAGATGTCACCCTTGAAGTCATGGACAGCTTCATCCCTTTGTTGGTTGCCCAGTAGGTCACTGCCCTTACACGCCACTGATGCTTGCAAATGTCTGGAGCAGACCTTTTGACATCTCCGGTGTCTGTCACTAGAAGGTTACATGCTGCATATGTGTGTAGAAAAAAACCCACACCCCTCTATATACATATATGTATATATTGATATATGTATATAGAGGGGTGTGATTTATTTTTCTATACGTATATGTTATGTTATATACGCTATCATCGAGTTCCTGTGGTTCTAGACTTTAACTCTATTATTGCAATGATACCTGTTTTTAGCAGTAATGTACTGATCAGTTACGTCACCCCTTCTATAGTCATGTGAGCTGTGGGATAGGGTTAGCCTGGGTCAACCAGTTGGAATAACTTCTTCAGCAAGACCTCACACAGATCTCTGTCAAGAACAAGCAGCAAATGCATTAAGGAGTAATGCAGGATAAGTGTACAAATATCTAGATTTTATAAGTATTGACCAAGGACTTTCTTTATATACAATTGTTGTGTTATGTAATAACTAGACAAAGGTAGATTCCACATCTCAAACTCTATTAGAAAAAAAAAATGTTAGGAGGTTCCTACGAACAGAGACATCTGATTTTCTTAGGTTTGGGGAAACCACTTCCGGGTACTTCCAAGTCTGTTTTTTAGTGACTCAAGTCAATAATACTGTAAATCATAACACTAGGGTGTGTTATGTCCATTTATCCGGTGGGTTGTTATTTCTATTTACAACCCCGAATGTGTGATGTACTGAGGTTGGACAATTTGATACAGACGAGATAACAAGCCTTGGATCCTGGCATTGATTTGTTGCATAGAGTGCATTGCATTCGTGGCCCACATGGTATGAGTTGGTGCGTGTTCTGGGTGCAAGGAGAGTGTGTTCGGGTGATTGTTCTACACTATGATATGATCGAAGCAAGAAGGAATATTGCATTGTGTTGTATCAGGATAAGTAGGCTGAATAAATAAGGGGAATACCCTGATTCCCTACCATGTTGCATGATCTAAATATAAGTACTTTTATTTGGAGGCAATTGGCCTTGGAAGTGAATCAAGTTGCATATGTCGTTAGATTATGATGCATGCACTTTGCTGAAGCCTATGAAGTGTGATGCAGATTTGGATTTGGGAAAACACTATGGGACAGGCCATAGCTCTGCGTAACGACATGTCGGTGTTGAAATCATTTACAGGGAACAGCACAGAACGGCTACCGTATAGAGCTAATTGTGGTGGTGCTCTTGTACCACTTATAGTGGTTATTGGAGAAATAAACAGGCTGAATCTGTATTTGGTTCAGCTTCAACTTTAGTTTGGCGGGGCGGTCGGGTAGCCTAGTGGTTAAAGAGTTCGCTCGTCACGCTGAAGACCCGGGTTCGATTCCCGACATAGGTACAATGTATGAAGCCCATTTCCCTGCCGTGATATTGCTGGAATATTGCTAAAAGCGGTGCAAAACCATACTCACTCACTCACTCACATTAGTTTGGCAACAAGATTTGAACTATTGAAATACTCTCTCAGGAAAGAAGTAGAATATCCAGGATAATTCTGTTGAAGCATTTGTTGTGTGTTCAGCTGAGCCATTGTCGTGTTCACAGGTCCCGGGACTTCTATCATACGTGTTACTGTCTCAGTGGTCTCTCACTTGCTCAGCACTTCACAGGGGGCCACCTGGCGGACACGTATATTGTCGGACATACCAAGAATGAAGTAGTAAGTGCAGCCATCGCATTCACGCTAGCCCAAGACAACTAATTATATAAACTGTGCAGAGGACAAGTAAAAATCCAATGATGGTAGTCAACATGAACAGGTTGTATTTGAGGACTATAACTCTGAACGGAACTAAATAAAACTGATAGAAAATGCAAACTCAGGGAATATTTTTGTCTTGTTCAAGCAGGACTAGCTACAAACTCTGAGGACTAGTTATATACGGCTTCCACTGGGCCTCTGGGCTAGTCCTAAAAAGTATTTCTGAGGCTGTAAGTGGAATGTTGCATAACATAGCACTCTTTGCAATTCAGCGAACCTTTCTTTCAACAGGTCACTTAAGATATTGCTAGTCTGTAGTAATACTAGTTAACGTTTCCTTTAATAGGTATACCAGTATATATATATTATAAATGGTATATTCTAACTCCCTTGATGAAAAAAAGCACACTTTGTACTAATAATGGTAAGAGAAAAAGAGACAAAAACACACAGACACTCTCACTCGGTAGTCAGATTTGTGCAGTCAATGCAAAACATACAAGCACACACGTCACCAGTTGGAGTTGTGCACACACACAGCACTTAGTATATGTTAATTAATGTGTTGATAATTTATAGAATTCAAGTACAGTTTTCTGCGTGCATGTTTAGGGCAGGAAACTGAGTAGGGGCAGTGTTGAAGTAGACATCACCTAAACATGGCACCCTTCATACAAATTCACATCGACCCCATTCATACTTTGTGTATGAAGTTTGCAGTTGAGATCATTCTGTTTGTATTCCAGAAATCGGTGCATCCTGTGTACAACATCGGCATCGATGCCGTCATCCACGCTAATGAACATTTTAACCTGCTCCCAGTTCCAGGGTCGTCAGGGAAACACGAAGAGAAGTAACATCCAATATCTCTGTCTGAAACAATCTATTCTCTCGAGGGGCAGGACTGTCAGTATTGTTTATTAAGACAACTACACCACCAAGACAAGCTACAACCAACTGATAAACTGATGTAACTAGTACTGAATGTTTGTAAAAGATTTCGTCAATGCTTTTTTGATGGTTTCCAGCATAGATCTGTCTCCATGCTCCTAACTATCGAGCAAAAGGGGAAGGGCGTTGAACATTAACATGATAAGAAAATATATATGGGCATAGTGTTCAGGGACGTTGAGGTTTATTATGTATCCAACCCTGTTAAGTGGTATTCCAGATGCTCCTGTCATGAAAAGTTTATCTCTGCGGATGCCAATATTTAAATGTTAAAATTAATTTTTCGTTCTTTTTCTCTTGCAAAGAGTGACAAATCAATCCACTATTTAGCCCTAAGCTCATGAGCAGGCATGGTCAGGCCTTCCATGTGGAAATCCCAGTCTGATTTACTTGTTCAAGCTGTGTACACTGATATGTGTCAATGGTCTCTATTAAATTAATAGACTACGTCTGAGGGCAGAGCACTCTCATGATTTGCTACAAATCAACAGAGGGTGCATTTGCTTCTCACCATTGTCTGATACCAAGAGTTCTTAAATTGAATGTTAAGAGACATTAAGTGGTATGACAGATGGCTAGAGGTGTGGCGATGGCACCCTCAGGATAGATCCTTGTTACATGATGTCAGAAGAGGCAACTAAGGCGGGAACCAGGTGAACACAATAGCTAAAGAGTATGGATTAACCAGAGACTCTCCGTCATAACCTGGCTGAATGAGGGACATTGTACACGGGTCTGGTCCAAAACTTGAAAAGTCTCCAGTATAGTATAATGAAGAGGAATGTTCTACCTTCCACACACAGATAACTCACAACTGTCACAATGTGGGCCACACCAATAAATGTGTATTTTATTTACTTGGGTCAGTGTAACAAGAGGCAGGAAGTAAAAAGCATAATGTCAGTGGTCAGATAACTAAAGCACTCTATCACTTGTATTGAGTATTAGCCATGCATTTTTCAGATGTTGTTTGTTTTAGACTCTTGTGTCTAACCATATGTTTAAAGAGTTACAGTCAAGTCCCATTAATCAGACATTGTTGGTTTCATATGATTATGCGGATTAACGAGTATGTCGGATAAACTAAATTAAGTAGTGTCAATGTTCGTGATCGAAAATTGGACAACTACACGATAGATAATTATATGAACAAGTAAGGAAAAAGGAAAAAGGAAATATTCATATTGTTGTGTTACATTCATACATCAAAACACGAGGCTGTGTACTCGCGGGCAGATGACCATAGTGTAAGCTGATCACTGTGTCGGATTAACGAGACTGATTAATGAGTGTTTTCAGCAATTCATTGCAAATTAAGTGTCGGAATCGGAGTGAGAGACTGTCGGATTAACGGGTCTAAATAGCACTGATTTAATCGGTTCCCAACATTTGTGTCGGATAAAGCCGATTGTCGTAGTAACGAGTGTCAGATAAACGAGACTTGACTGTATATTGTGTTCCAACCATTGTCAGTATTTTCATCCGATACACCTTTGTTGTAACACCTGCAATTATTTGTTTTATTGAAAAGGAGTGATCCAATTATTTTGTTTGGCATCCGTACATTCAAAGCCTTAGTTAGGATTAGCAGTATGTGTCTTCTGAATCCTAAAGTGGAGGTAGATTCTTTTTAATTAGGTGCAGGTACTGTTGGAATACTTGTATAAAACCCTGTGAAGATCGGGGCTAGAATAGGTCCCCAGCAATCCATGCTTGTCCAGTATGTTGTATATGGTGAAATGTGGTACTAGGTCTGACTGATTGAGAAAGAGCTTCCAGGTGTACTGCTTTTCGAAGATGGATTTAGAGTGCCGATAAAGAACCATTTATGTTTGGCTTTTTGGACATGCTGATCCTAAATACGCAATAGTAAAAGAAACAACTTTTGTTACAAAGGTGGTACTTGTTGTTACCCTGACTGGTAGACTCGGGGGTCAGTATACTGTGATTGAGTAGGGATATCCATGTTAAACTGCAGCATATCAAAGTTGTTCAAGCACTCTAAAACCGGCATTAGTATGGGCAGGTACAAGCAGCCACACACACACACATGTAGCACTTGCCATGTAAGTGCAGTAATCTTGAACGTGATGTTTCAGCACAGGTGCTACTTGTGGTCTGTTGATCCAACAAGTAATCCCAGTTGTGGATCACCATGTGATAAAGGTTCCAGCATCGGTACCACATTGAAAGAATAATGAAGTGGAAATCCAAAAGTCAACCCTGTTTCATTAAAATGACAAAAGTCGATTAAAGTAGAAAAACACTCCAAGGCTTGCTGAGGACATTTTTTTCTACTTTTTGATATCGTGTTGATATATTTGATTTGACACAAAGGTGAGATTTTATTTATTATCAAATATCAATCTCAGTCATTAAGTACAAGACCAATGTATAAGACTGATTACTAATTGGACATTTGAGACCATCGTGAAATGATGAAGGTGTATTCCTCGCAAAAACATGCCATTGTTTTAATTGACTGAAACTTTTGCGGTTTATGTTTCTGTACGATAGCTGAGAAATCACTACCAAAGTGTAATTTTTTGTAAGTGTTGTGTCCATAAATTCAAAACTCATTGTTAAACAAGACACCTTTATTTGACTCTATTGGTAAGTTGGTCAAGCGTTTAATCTGCTGAGCAATACTGCCTGTCTGTAGATGTGGTGACATTCCCTTCTGACGTCCCAGTAACGAAGTGGCGATACATTGTAACATTACCATGGTTACAGTGCTAAGACTATACAGCTATGGAGATGTGTTGCACCCAATCACCTCCTCACTAACCAAAGAGCTTGTTATTCTGAATGTAGTTTAAAATGATGGAGAGAACGAAAGAAAATGTGTTTTTTAGTCAAAAGGTGGTCAAAAATAGAATCACTTGTGTTACATTTGAACATAAAAAACCTCACATTAACGCTGATGTCAGTTAACCAGTGGGTGACCAGGAATGCAATGTTCCCGTGGAGATATTGCTTGGTCTCCTGTGGGTGTTAGAATTAGACGAATGAATCCACCTACATCCTGTTAAACAGAAACTGAAAGATTATTTCTTTAGGTAAATTTTGTCAAGTTTGAAATGATACTCTCAATTTATTCAGTTGGTATTATCAGTCATTGTTGTTCTTGGATTAATTCTGAGCGACAGCATGTAGTGTTTTTGTAAATGCATGGAGTAAATTAGAAGAATTGAATCAATATATGAACATATCAGTGCAGTTAAACTTTTTCATCCATATTCTCCACATTACAGGCAATTGTTGGGGAATGTATGCATAGACATATAGAGACATGACCCATGTTTATTTCCTATCTGGAAGTTTTGTTCATGTGGAAGGTTCTGGATTTACAGGGTTTTACTGTATCAGTGGGGGCACGGGTGGCCCAGTCGTCTAAGGCGCCGCTGTGCAGAGTTGCGATCCTTGGGCACGCCAGAAACCTACGATTGTGGGTTTCGAATCCCGGTTCCCACGTTTCTAGGTTTGTGAGCACCATACCGGTGCTCATATGGTTTTCTGGAAGTGGTAAAGGTCTGAGACCTGCATCACTTCGGGCTTTTAAGCTGACATGCCGTGATATAACTGTAATACTGTTAAAAGCGGCATTAAACCCAACTCACTCATTCAAACTGTATCAGTTTGTAGTGAACACGGCTATAGATTATCATTTGGATTTTAAAGGTGTAAGATTAGCGTTATTTTTTATCAAAGCTTTACCTTTTCTGAAAGATGTTGAAAATTTGACATATATTTCTGCTGTATGGACAATCTCATTAAAATCAGATCTTAGTTCCCTCTAATGCTAAACAAAGATCTGAGAACATCCTATTACGGGTCACGTCAGAACGACCTTTCATACGACCAGTCAAAGTGTCGCTTACCAGATCATAAAAGTGACAGTCGGAATGTGTTTTCTAATCATTGAACCTACAAAACGTTAACACAGGATATTTCGAACGACAGTTACGACCTGTACGACTGATTCTGTCAAAACAATTGTCTATCTCTCCCTTCCGCGAGATAAACATTTGAATGGAGGAGTCGTTGCACAGTACGTGGGAAGCACTGCCATACAATCTCAACCATATATTAGACATTCCGTAATGTTCGTTTGTTCAGTTTTCAAAATCTAAATCGAGAACTGTGTCAACATATTTTTCAAGCGTAGTCTGAATTGGAAGTCGCCAAGTTGAAATGAGTGCAGTAAAGCTCGAGAAAGCTGCTTTCTAATCGGCTGATGTCGACTTCTTCGGTCGGTCGGTCAAAGTTTGCGAAAGGTTGTTCTGATGTGACCCGTAATGGGATGTCCTCAGATCTTTGTTGCAGCGAGAACCTATATCTGGTTTTAATGAGATTGGCAGTATGGAAAAAGTAGGGGCAATACCCTATTTAACAGGCATCAGTAGATTCATCAGAACAATTGCAAAAATAATCCATATATGCATATTTTAGCAACAACCAAAATGAAAGAAATATCATTAAAAGCAAAGAAACATTTTTGAGTGTGATGACAAAATATATGCTGTTCAGGATATAACATGTATTTCCAGTGTGAATTTGGTCATGCACTTTGGAGTTGAATTCTCAGATGCTCACTGATTATGATGCTTGGTTTGTCAGCACCTTCACAATGTTCACAGAAGTGGAACAACCAGCTTCACTTTCCTCCAATATTTAGTTAACATGCAATGAAATACTGCTCAAAACAGCATTAACTCAAATCACTCACTATTGTGCATGTCACTCAAAGTGAATACAATGATGTGACTTTTTTCTTCTCAGAATTTATAATAAGATTACTTATTAAGGGAGCCTTATGGTTAAAACATACTCACTCACTTTGTATATGCCTTTGTCATGGTAAGAGTATCCCTCCCCTCCCCTCCCCTCCCCTCCCCAACCCTTACAGTGTTTCAAGAATCAGCCGCCCTTACAATGTATTGAAAGTTACCTCCCCTTACAGTGTGTCAAGAGTTACACAGTTTCCAAGCTCCTCGCACTGATAGCCCGTTCACGGAGCTCTCTATGTTATCGAGAGTTTAACTAAGGTGTCGCGCGCTTGGAAGTTTCCCACTGTTACAGTGCATTGAGAGTTACCCACCCTTGCCATGTTTCAAGAATAACCTGCCCTTACAGTGTATTTTGTGTAACCCACAGTTACCGTGTATTAATGTACCAATATCTGTGGAACACAGTGCAGGTGTAAAAAATCAAAAATTATGGCCCAATATTTTGTTGAGATGTTGTATATGTTTCTGCTTACAAGTCAGTAATGGAGAGTCTGATCTGACATTGAGACTGTGGTACTATATATTTGTCAATGTGATGTCGTCTGCTAGTTTTGTACCATGGATATCAGTAAGATGGATGTTATGTGTAAGTTATATCTTGACATTGGATGTATATACTGTCATGTTACTGTGAGTTTCTGTGTCACATTTGTATGGCAGATGATTCATTTCACAGCACACTTGTCTTGCAGAAGTATCATTACATTTCTGAAAGTAAAGTGTCATTTACTATTCCTGTGTTGTTTTGTTTTTGCAAGTACTAGATCCTGTTTACAATGGATCTTTAGCAACCCAGTCTTTCCGTAAGAAACGACTAATGGGGCGAGTGGTCAGGCTTGCGCTTGCTGACTTGGTTGATGCATGTCGTTCTATCCCAACTGCGTAGATAATTGCACATGCTAATCACTGGATTGTCTGGTCCAGGCTCAATTAAACAGAAATACTATATGCTACTTACCTGTAAATAGAGATTATTAGGTTTTCATATCGGAAATATATCGCAAATAACGGAGAAAAATATCTTTGCTTCAAAAAGTGGTGTAAATGTTATTTTATTGAAAATAACAACATAATATTTAGACCTTTGTCTGATCAATGTCTTGTCAACAAATTCATTGAAAAGACCAATATGTGGTAAGAGCCCTAAACAGAGTGATGGTGTAACAACTCAATTAACAATGTCTATATCGGCTGCATCTTCCCGAGGCAAGAGAGTTAACTGATTTTAAAAGTCCAGTTTTCCATCGGTATGTTGCAAATGGGAGCGACGCAGGAGCCCCTTGCCTGAATCAGGGGCTGCTTCAAGTGCACCATCGCCAGACTTGTCACACGTCACAGGCAAACTGGTAGTACTGCAGACAGGCGAGGAGTGGAAGACCCAAGGTCACGACCCCACAGGAAGACCGGTATTTACGGGTGCTTCACCTGAGGTCCAGGGCCCACTTAGGGATCTAAGAAGATCGAAACTCCCATACTTTAACATAGGCTTACAATAGTCTTAGCGCTAAGATCGCTTTGTGCAAGTGGGCAAAGATTCCTAACTGTGACGTCATCATCCGCAAACAGCCTTGGACATCCAGTCAACAGAAGGACCGTTGGTGGACGGCGGCGCCTGTATGGTCTCTGTGCCTATCGACCTTTCAAAGGCATGACGTCAACGTGTCTACACCAACGTCACAGACTGAGATGGGCCAGAACTGTACAGCAGTGGCAGAAGAGAAATTGGCGAAGAGTGCTCATCAAGTCTTATGGGTGGGTTCGAATCTACTGACGACGTGGTGAACGGACGGCACGTTGTTGCGTCCAAGAAGTGGAGCCTTATGGAGGTTGTAGTGTGATGGTCTGGGATGGCATCTGCGGGCACCAGAAGACAGATCTGGTCATCATCGACGGGAATCTCACTGCACGTCGTTACATTGATGAGGTTTTGCGGCCTTTCCTGCAACGACACCCAAGGACGCTGTTTCAGCAGGACAAAGCCACCCCGCACACAGCTCGAGTCACTAGCGACTTTCTGAACGCCAACAACGTGACCGTATTACAGTGGCCAGCCAGATCACCGGACCTGTCGCCCATAGAGCACTTCTGGGACCAACTTGGACGCCGGATTCGGAAACGTCAACGGTCGCAATTGACGAGGGATGCCTTGGCATGTGCCCTGCAGGAAGAATGGCGTGGGATCCCTAATCAGGATGCCAAGAGACTCGTGTAATCAGTTCGACGTCGTGTTAGGGCCTGCATCGTTGCTGGAGGGAGTCACATCCAATACTGAGCCATGTACATGTATGTGGCACAGGACTTTAAAAGAGACCAACGTCGATTCTGCGGGTGTGATCGAATGCTGGACAGTCCACCCTGCAGAACTTTAAGAACATGGTTTTTTTTTTATCTTGTCACTTTCAAATACCGTTTTTTAAATTATTCTTTTTCATAATGAAACATCACCTGTTACTAAATTTTGCGTCTGTTTTGTTTTAGACCAGAAAATTGTTTGGCTGGCCACTGTAATACGGTCACGTTGTTGGCGTTCAGAAAGTCGCTAGTGACTCGAGCTGTGTGAGGGGTGGCTTTGTCCTGCTGAAACAGCGTCCTTGGGTGTCGTTGCAGGAAAGGCCGCAAAACCTCATCAATGTAACGACGTGCAGTGAGATTTCCGTCGATGATGACCAGATCTGTCTTCTGGTGCCCGCAGATACCATCCCAGACCATCACACTACAACCTCCATAAGGCTCCACTTCTTGAACGCAACAACGTGCCGTCCGTTCACCACGTCGTCGGTAGATTCGAACCCACCAATTAGACTTGAAGAGCACTCTTCGCCAATTTCTCTTCTGCCACTGCTGTACAGTTCTGGCTCATCTCAGTCTGTGACGTTGGTGTAGAAAAACGTGTCAGCAGAACTTTAAGAACATGGTTTTTTTTATCCTGTCACTTTCAAATACCGTTTTTTTAAATTATTATTTTTCATAATGAAACATCACCTGTTACTAAATTTTGCGTCTGTTTTGTTTTAGACCAGAAAATTGTTTGGTGGCGTTTCTTTTGCCCGTTAGTTTACAAGACAAAGTTACTGTTTTCCCCGTTTGTATATTAGGACTTAAAATTGTACTATGCGAGCCTTTTGCATTCCTAATACTCAAAATCATGACATTAATGCGAAAATGCGAATGTCCCTCTCATAAATAAAGTGACATACTAGAGTTTATTCTCGTGTCAGATTAACTGCGCATGGACGCACCTCACAATAAACAATGTAATTGAGCCCTTGCTGGAGTGCTTCTCACCATATCTAGCGTAAATTGTGTTTCATCAAGCAGTTATGACAGTCACCATCCGTATTGTCTTTGTTCTTGGTAACCCTGTCAAATAATCTTATAATTAAGATTTCATTTTTCAAGTTCAAACCAACGACCCCGTGAATGCAACAATGTGCCGTTCGCTCTCCCCGTCGAAGGTCAATACCGAAGAGCTGGATTCTGTTCTACTGGCTGACGGATCGTGCCCACCTCAATATTTGAGGTCGATGTTGAGACTTCAAGGTTATGCTGTGGTATTCCAGTTTGTTGTAGTCTCCTCGATACATTTCTAAGACTGACAGGATGTCCAAAGGCAGTTGCTGTTCCTCAACTGTATAACGCGTCTTCGTACGGAGTCTTGAAGATCCGGGGTAGAATAGATCTTCAGCAACCCGTGCTTGCCGTGAAAGGCAACTATGCGTGTCGTAAAAGGCGACTAACGGGATCGGGTGGTCAGGCTCGCTGACTTGGTTGATGCATGTCATCGATCCCAATTGCGTGGATCGATGCTCATGATATTAATCACTGGATTGTCTGGTCCAGACTCGATTATTTACAGACCGCCGTCATATAGCTGGAATATTGCTGAGTGCGGCGTTAAACAACAAACCAAACCAAACCAAATCGTACGGAGTCTCTCTGGACCTGTCTAGGGTTTGGCCAGTGAGCCTGTGTCATCAACCTATTGATTGTGCCGGTACAACCGCAAAACCTGTCTTTTCTCTTTTCTTTCGATGACCTTGGCATGGTCGTTGTGCTGATCTGAGTGCCACATAAAACAAGATACCCTAACTGTCCAAATAACCCCATGTTGCACGTGCATCAAACTTTCACGGTAAAAAGTCATTTTGCACGAGACCCCGTGACCAGAATTGCGACGTTCAGAAACAGTCGTGTTGGTTATGTTAAGATGGTTAAGTTTTATTTTAATTACGAAAAAATATAATTTAAAGTTTGGTGTAGTTTCTATTGCTCGTAAGTGTATTTCAATTAACTAAAGCAACTTCAGAAATAGCCCAATTTATACCCTCGTGCCAAACGTATTTGCCGCCATGTTGATTTACATAAGTCTCACAAATCCAGAAACCACTGTCTATTCTTTTCGGGAACTGGCAAAGGCAAAAGCAAAAGTAGTAAATCGTAAATATCTTACAAGAGTGTTGCCGACATCAATACAAAATTGATACCAAAATTGAATTGGCCATTTCTGCATCGATTGGGATTGATTTATTGGGAAAGAATGAGGTTTTGCAGACATTTAGTGAAGAGATGGGAAAAACGCAAAACGCAATCACGTGAGACACTGGTGCCGAAACACACTATCATGCACGTGCAACATCACTTGTTGGGCTATAAAAACGTTGGGTTTGCATTTGCATGCCATTATAATCTTGTATCAAGTGAACAGCGAAAACATGTCACGACTGACGGAAACCCAACGCAACAACGCCATCGGCCGACTGCAAACTGGAGATTCATCTTTATCTGTAGCCAGGTTTTTCCAGGTAGCATCACATCACAACATCCAGGTTCTGCCATGGTCCCCGAGGTCTCCATATTCAAACCCAATCGAACATCTGTAAATAATCGAGTCTGGACCAGACAATTCAGTGATTGATATCATGAGCATCAATCCATGCATTTGGGATACGATGACATGCATCAACCAAGTCAGCGAGTCTGACCACCCGACCCCGTTACACGCCTCATACAACAAGCGTAAACGCCATTTTTTTTTTACTACTATCTGCTTACCGTATTCGACGTAATAAGCGCCCCGCTCTAATAAGCGCCCACGGCGATATATGCTAATATATTGGCTAGTGAACAATCCCAATTAGCACCCCTTCCGATTGATCAATGTACACAAGACTTATTTATTCGTGTATAATACGCACTCATGTGTTATATGCACCCTTAATCATGGGCAATTAAATTCTGGAAAAATATATCTGTCGTATATAAACAGTCCAGACCATCAGCATAAACCACGAAATTTATCTTTCAACTCTGTATTTTCCACCAAAATCATATTCTAATAAGAGCCCCCTATTTCTAATTTTGAGAGCGCCCTGGGCGCTTATTACGTCGAATACGGTATTATTTATATGACGTATAGTGGTATACATCTAAAAGCACTTTTGAGTTTCCTTTTTTGCCTAGCAATACCTTACAAAAAAATAGTTCCTGCTAGGTCACCTCATCTGTCGCATCCTGATACCAAGTTGATTGATTCATTTATTGCATCGTACACTATCAGTATTGAATTATGAACTTACATGAAGTTGAAAATGTAAAATGAAAACATGTTATTATTGGGTGAGTGAGTGAGCTTTCAGCAATATCAATGTACCCTTGTGGGAAAATGAACCTTCGACTGACAAGTGAAGGCGTAAACTACAAGGCTACTTGATTGTTGACTTCATGCTGATTTGTTTACTTGTCAGTGAAATCACAGCAGGTGAGTGTTGTGTGGTAGGAAATTCCAAACACCACTTTCAGGATGTCGCAAATGCATATCAGCCAAGTATCGTATATCCAGTCTATCTGCAAGTTAAATCCGCAAACAGCAGATCCTGGAAGACAAGGGAAACAACTGTCCATGTAAAAAAAAATGGATGAATGAGAAAGATGTACATATGTATGTGAAAAAATTGAATATTTGACAATTCCATATATCTAGGCTGGCTTGTAGTCAAGTTACTAGCTTGACCCCTCAAGGAACTCTGGTTTAAAGAAGAGCCACTCTCCTACCTCATCACCACTATCAAACAAAGAACAAAGGCTAGTGTACAAGTATCAACACTTTAGTCTACAGTTTACAATACACATATGATGAAGACAATCTCATGGTTAGACCAGTATACAGAGCAGCTCACTGCTGTCAAGGGTAAAACATTGCACTCTGTGATGACTGCTTCACATAAAAAACTACTAAACCTGCTGCTGGAGGGAACATGAAGCCTACTGCAGTACCTTACAACATAGGCTATGTGCCCATACAGCCTAGTGGACACATTTCTTTTCATCTGTTCCCATTCAGTCTTGCTGCTCAGCAATATTGCATCCTTATACAATGGCAATCTTTAGATACTGCTCAAAACAAATTAAAGAACACTCACAATTTGAAGGTTACCCACCAGCCATGACAAATTAACTATGGTCATGTGAAAATCGGGTGTTCTTTTACTTCTTTTTGAGAAGTGTATAATCTGGACCAGACCATCCTGCGATTGAAATAATCAATGACCGACGCCACTAAGGTAAGATGACATGAACCAAGCCACGGAGTCGCCACCTGATCCATGTCTAGGCTACTTTGAAGTTCAAACCCACAAGCCTCTAATGGCTACCAGGCACAACTCTGGACAGTGGCCAGCTCAGTCAGATAGGAGAAGTTCAAGATGAGATAAAGTTCAGCTGAAACATGCTTAAGACAACTGAAGGAAGTTATCATACTTTGATTACTGAGCACTGAGTCTATGTTGTCAGATGTAGAGCAGCAGCAATGTTAGTTATCAGCCTACAACAAGTCTACAAGCAGGTCAACACATACAACCATAGAAGTAGAATATACTGCATGGGAACATGGAGGTTAGCATCAATGGTTAGTCAGTAACCTTCCATGTTGCGTACCAGTGTATTGATACAGCTCACCAGTGGCCACAAAGGCAACACAACTAGGGACTTGATGGGAAGTTGGTGATAACTTTTACGCAATGTGTAACATGGTTCATGCTAGCATTATTCCTACATGATAAGGTCCAATGTTGTTGACAGGTGTAACCTTGGTTACACTATGTTGTCATTCTCAGATGTTTGTGTAGTATACTCAAACAAAAAAGTAACATGTTCTTATGGATCATAATGTGAATTCTTAGAAGCATGATACTTAACGTTTCTTTTGTTTGGGGTGATTGATGTATTCGCTGATGAGCACCCTGGTCAGTAAGCACCTCTGATCAGTCTAACAATGTATATCCCTGTATGGAATAAGGAGATCATCAATCTTTTAAGTTACATACAGGCCACTTCTCCTTCTCCACATGGTATGGCAACCAGTTGTCCATGTCATATCATGACTGGTTGATATCCATATTGTATCATGACCGGTTGATATCCACATTGTATCATGACCGGTTGATATTCACAATGTATCATGGGCAGTTGATATCCACTTTCTATCATGACCTGTTGATATCCAGTTTGTATCATGACCTGTTATCCACATTGTATCATGACTGGTTGATATCCACATTGTATCATGACTTGTTGATGTCCACAATGTATCATGACCTGTTATCCACATTGTATCATGACTGGTTCATAGCCACATCATATCATGACCTGTTGATATCCACATTGTATCATGACCGGTTGATATCCACTTTGTATCATGACCTGTTGTTATCCACATTGTATCATGACCGGTTGATATCCACATTGTATTATGACCGGTTGATATCCACTTTGTATCATGACCTGTTGTTATCCACATTGTATCATGACCGGTTGATATCCACATTGTATCATGACCGGTTGATATCTAAATTGAATCATGACCGTTTGATATCCAATTTGTATCATGACCTGTTTACATCCACATTGTATCATGAAATGTTATCCACAGTGTATCATGACCTGTTTACATCCACATTGTATCATGACCTGTTGTTATCCACAGTGTATCATGACCTGTTTACATCCACATTGTATCATGACCTGTTGTTATCCACATTGTATCATGACCTGTGGATATCCACATTGTATCATGACCGGTTGATATCTACATTGTATCATGACCGGTTGATATCCACATTGTGTCATGACCTGTTGTTATCAACATTGTGTCATGACCTGTTGTTATCCACATTGTATCATGACCGGTTGATATCTAAATTGTATCATGACCGGTTGATATCCACATTGTGTCATGACCTGTTGTTATCCACATTGTGTCATGGTGTCGGTTGACATAAGCAGCCTAGTTCAGCAGCAGCAGCAGCAGCAGCAGTCTTGGGTAGGGGGTACATGTTCACCATGGATAGAGTTCTAAATGGAGTGGACAGTCACATCAACAAGGGATATTCTACAATGGATTTATTTACACATGACATATCTGATACAGTTAGTTTCACCATATCAGAATAATGAAGAGATGCAGTCAAACCCAACCCAAAATATTTCTCAACCTTTTAACAAATATTTGTTTATCCTACAAGGAGTTTAAAAAGTGCAACATTTACAAATTCCTTTAATCAATCATGAAATGTTGATTTAATCGTGTTGAAGGATAACAACAAGTCAGTTATCATATGCAATACCATACTGTTATCCAATACAATACTGTACTGTTATCATGTACAATACTATTCCGTATTATCATACACCTGAAGACCTACTTGGGAATGAAATAAATACACCTTGACTAAAAATCTTGTTCGTATAACATACATGTCATTTCTACAACCAAATTAAAATGTTCTCGCTTGAACTCAACAATTAGTACAATGTATACATAACAATTCAAGTATCTATCTACAGTTCACTTAAGATATAACAAACTCCGAGGCAACTTTAAAACGAGCTCTAGTATCTGAACTCCACCACTGTGAAGAGTAACATTCACTAGACCTGCACTGATCACAACTAAAGGTAGCAACTGGTCATGTTCCTACCTAGTTTCATCAGGGTTTAGTACAATGCATCTACATTTCAACAGCATCATAAGCTTCTTCAATAAGAACAAAACAGAATATGTATGTTTATCATTTCATATCAAGTTTGCTTACCACTCAACAACTGATAGGGGTACTGGAATTTGTTATCCTATCCTTGTACACACTAGAGGACAAAATATCATTGAATCATGTATTTTTGTTTAACTTGGAACGAAGCCACTCAGAATAACCTTATCAAAAGTTGAGTAAATTGTTTCAAATACATCTCATAGCCTTAACTGCATATCACAGCCATTATGTGAAAAAGTGCTTTTTTCATGGTTTGATACTTCATAAGATCATGAAGACAGAGGGCATTAGAAATATTTTTTTCAAGTTTTTGTAACAGATCTAATTCCAGTTATAAAAATGGTTGACTAACACTTAGTAAAACCTGAAGTTGCTATCTATCAAAGGCAACATGTATTAGAAGCATTCATTAAGCTCCATGGTCCAATAACAAAGCACACATGGTAACTGCTTGTCTGTAAGTCGGTAATACCCTGGCAGCTGGGGGGGGGGGATCAGTTTGAGCAACACTGGAGTAATATCAGAAACACCAACATACTTCTTCAAACATGACTGCCTTGAATGTGGCATATCAACTAGAATTATGTTTCACTTGGCATTTGAGCAAGCTGAATCCTTTTCAGACATGGACATAACCATGACAACATAATCTGAATGGAAACTACTTCAGACATCAGCATCTTGTATGACAAGAACCCTTATGTTACTAATGTGCATCAGGTAGGTGGGAAATATAGGGTCCATTTTGAAGTTAAATTTGATTTTCAAGATGTACATTCTTCAAATTAAAAAGGTTTCCGGCAACATTTTTCTCACACAGTTACAGTTGCATATTTTTCAAGTGATAAAAACATAAAACACAAATATACCAACCATATTGCTCTTTCTTGCAAACAGTAGAAAATCAATTCATGGAATTACCTAATAAAATGACCAAATTGAGATCTTTAGTTGGCCCATTTGAATCCACAGAAGTTACGATCAGTCCTCTCGAACTCACAAGTTACTCTCCGTCTTCTCCGGCACGGAAATCATTCCTCTGGCAAGTAAATGTCCTAGTTGGCATGAAGCTGAACAGTAAAATGATAATGAGTGTCAACCCTACACACAGCTAATTCCCCGCAGCGATCCATCTCCTCATGTCCTGTACCAGACTGCACGAATCAGTTGGCATAGAGTTGACCTGCACAAACATGTGAAGGATAAAATCCCGAGCAATGATTTGCTGCCTTACGTCATATGACAGATGTCCCTCAGCTGGGTGCTGTCTTTAATTTCTTACGTCTACTCCCTGCTGATTTGTCCTCTACATCAGAGCTCTCTGATTCTGAGCCACCATCAAATGGCATCTGTCCTCCACGCAGATTGACCCCAGTCTGTGAGGCAAACGCTCCTGTGGATTTAGCTTTTTCTAGAGATCGAACTGAAATTCAAAGAAGAAACATGAGATTTAGTTGTTGTTTAATGTCGCATTCAGCAATATTCCAGCTCTGGTGGTGGCTAAATAATCATGCCTAGACAATTGAGTGATGGATATTGTGAGAAACGATCCAGGCCGTCTGGGTATGATGACACACAATCAATCAAGTCATCGAACCCGACCAACCCAATCTATATGGTCAACCCTAACAACCAAACTAGATTTCTGGAGACCAATTCTAACCCTGAATTACTATGGGGTAGACAAGTGGGAACATAGGGGAATGAGGTTTGATGCCAGTCAGTATTAATGAGCACCTTCTGAAGCCATCTGGATACAATGACACACAATCAGCCAAGTTAGAAAACATGACCACCTGACAGGCCTCAAAGTTGCAACTAAAATGGTCACCAAAATGCGATCTAAATTTCAATTTGTCTACTGTCTAAAATTCAGAGGTAGCCAAGTGACTACCTTGAAAAATATGTTGTGGCGACTAAATTCTATTGCTACACATATGAAGACACAAAAATAAACAAATAATTCCTCCTAAAGTAAACAATCAACCAAAATGCATAAATATTGATGTAATTAGTATTTTATTTTAGTTGGTAGTTTATTGGATAAGCAAGGATATACCTATATAATCTAGTAACATAAACTGCATTGTTGTTCGAGTCACAAATAACAAAACTCAAGTAGTTTCCACAAATATACAATTCCAAGACTAATGCTATGACTTGTACATGAAATAGTTATTTGATAAAAGATAATTTCAAATGCCTTTGACTACCTACAATATTGGCTTGACTTCTTGATTTGACCACTAGCTACCTGGAAAAAAATACTTGTAGCCATATGGCCAAATGGTAAAAATTGAAACTTTGAGGCCTGCCTGATGCATTAGTCGGCTCTTGCAAGGCCCCAGACCTGGAACCTATTTGATCCAGCATCCTTAGGGGCTTCACACATTACACCCATTTCGGGAATTGAACCAAGGTTGTCTGTGTGATGAGTGATCACTTTAACCACTAGGCTACCTGAAATCTCTTCCATTAAACACACACTGTAATATGATGTGGTGCAAATGAAGCTAGACTTACTTTGTTGTTCAAGGATATTATTCTGTTTCTTGAGGTCCTCAATGTCTTGCTGGTGACTGTGGTTTTTCCTCCTCATAAACTGAATATAGTCTGCTGCCTTCTTCAGAATCTGTGCCCGGGAAACCTGGCACAAACATCACACTTACTAAGTACCAGTCAACTACTTGAGAAGAGATGATTGGTTGTGGTGATACTGGTTTTATGCCCAACTCAGCAATATTTCACCTACATCACAGCATCAACTGCACCAAGCAAACCTGTTGGTCCGGTGAAGACTACCTCTCCTGTCAGGAAACTAGATGTGTTTGCAAGCTCTTGCACAACTCAAATCAACAGCCCCATCACAACTATTTCTTCAAAGACCTTGAATACAAAATATACCCCCAAGGACATACAGTCTGACAACACAACAAGTTTGGGGAAACACCTGACTACTTCAGATAAAACCAGATAGTACCATACCTCAAGTTGGCCTAATAAGGAACAGGTAATACACTTCCCTCTAAATACATTAATGCTGGGAAGACCTGACCTAATGCAGCACAACCTTACATCAGAAAGTCCCATGCCTCTACCCACCTTTCCAAAGTATGTCATCAGTATCTCTAGTTCGATGTGATGTCACTTCCTGTCCAGGCACACATCAACAAATGAAGGTGACCCGCGAACAGATTTGTTTGTTCGCTGTTAAACGCTGCACGCAGCAATATTCAAGCGGCCCATAAATGATTGACAATGCAGTGACTGACATTGAGAGAAATGATTCACGGCATCTTTGTTCGATGACATGCAATCAACCAAGTCACTAACCCATTTAGTCATTGCCTACGACCAACATATGTTGCTGGGGAGCAGTAATTTTTCTAACCCCAGAATCATGATAAATACAAATACTGACATGACATCTCAACCAAAGACCCATATCAACACTTTAGTTACTCCAACCTTGCTGTGATATTCACAACTACCTTAATCAGTACAACTTCTTTACTGTAATCACTGCCGAAACCTGGGATTGAACAATACTAACTGGCAATAAACAATGGAGTCACTTTTCACAACTAGGAAAGTGTTTGCAAGAACTTGGAAAAACAAAAGCAGCCCCTTCACCTCCGTTTCCAGAGGCCCCGGACTTCATTACATACCACCATGCATGCCCACTAATACCATTTCCTTCAGTTTGGGCAAATACATGCCTACAACCTGAGGGCAATCAAGTACCTTGATATCAACCACATGCTTGGTTATGGAGTAGCAAACATAGGTGCTAGCTCATTCCATACCAACAATGTCCATCCCAGTCACCTTGACCTTCCATGAAGGTTACAAACAACGTTAAAGCATCAGTGTCCTCCTTTAAGGATAACTTGTACCAAATATCATCTTACCACAATAAACACTTGTTGAGCTATCATCTTCCCGTGGCAAGGGACTCAACTGATTATAAAAGTCCAGTTTCCACCCTTGCTGAATTAGGTTTGAATTTTTTAGTTATATTTTGGCTGGACTTAGGAGTTTCTTGATAGTCCCATCAAAATCTCATAACAAAATGGACATCCTGTTCGTAAACTGCCGTGCAGATTTCAGTCGATTGCAGAATTTGCAAAGCAAGTGTACCATCACCTCGGTATAAACAGAAATTTTCCAAATCTTTTCATGTTTTTAATCAAGGTACTATAATAATTTCAGTGCATACGCAAGGTAAAACCTGTTTTATTACAATATAGATCTTGATTATCGAACTGATCGTATTGACTGGGTTTCTGCCATTTTGTCTGAAGCAAATGCAAGTAATATGATAGAATATGGTAGAATCTGATTGGTCAGTATGAGGGACTAAGAAGGAACATAACTCATAATAGCCACTGGTGGCGCTACAATCATGCAACAAAATTCCAGCCTAGTTCGGAAAGGTGGAACTGGATTATCATGGGAGTGAATTTGAACTTCAATACCAGTAAGAAGTATCTGAAGAACATTCCCAAGGGCAGTACAGTAGTTCTTATATTAAATGTCCCCAGGCAGAATTCAATTAAAACCACAGCAGACTAATTGTTGATAGAAATACACAAGTATTCAAATCCTATAACCACTAAAATGTTTGATTGGCATTCTTAGAAGTTGGTCAATAACTGTCAAGACAAGATACCTTATGGTGAGTGAGTGAGTGAGTTGGGTTTAACGCCGCTTTTAACAGTATTCCAGTTATATCGCGGCGTGTCAGCTTAATGTGGGAGGAAAGCCCGAAGTGATGCAGGTCTCAGACGTTTACCACTTCGGTGAAACTCACGAGCACGAGTATGGTGCTGACAAACCTAGAAACATAATCGGGGCGAATCGGGATTCGAACCCACAATCATAGGTTTCTGGCGTGCCCAAGGGACGCAACTCTGCACAGCGAATCGCGGCACCTTAGACGACTGGGCCACCCGTGCCCCCAGATACCTTATAGATGACAACTTCTTTATATTATTACATGATATTTCAGTACAGATCCTTATCCAGGGTTTTATGCAACACACAAATGTGCATCAAGTATGCACAAATGTAAAGAATATACATTGTACCTACAGGCTACAGCACATCAAGAGCAGTTATGGGTGTCTGTTATTTCATCCGTCAATCAGGACCACTGTCTGCATGATCATTGATTCATTCTAAGCTCAAGTAATTATCTTTACTTATAGTATACTACACCATTTCATTACTTTACAGAACCCTCATTTTGTCCGCAAGGACCCGTAAAATTCTTTATTGGGTTCACTTTGACCCCTACTTTTGTATGTCATGGTAAAACCCTGCTTATACCATTGTCACTCTTGCTTGAGACTGTAGTTGTCACACTATATCGAAATGTCGCATCATAATAGAATAAAGAAATTGAAATCTATAAAATATCTTGACATTACCTTATAACTGCTAGTTGCAAAAGACGGAAACATCATAGCAGGGAAAGGTATTTTAGTGAAAATAACTAAAACTTTGAGAGTGACCATGACCTTATATGCAGGCATGGTTTCAAAATGTGCAGCATTGGCCTCCATCAATTGTGAAAACTCCTTAAGCATTCTCATTTACATGGGACTACTTAAAAACTACACAGATGCCCTTGACCTTTGCTAGCCATTCCACTTAATAAGGACTGCCATGTAAGGTTTTGGGACAAGTACAGGGCGTTCATAAAGATTACTCACCGACTGGTCTAGAACCTGTCATGGGGCAATTAATACAGGGAATTTGGTATTATCAAATACTTTTTTTTAGAATGTGTCCATAAACAAGTTTGCAGAGCTCCAGACTTTTGAGCAACTGAGTTTAATTAAGTTATTACATTTTTCATTGGGTATCCAATATTTTTTCACTCATCTATTCATCACTCTATTGGGTTTTTGAAGATTTAAAAAAGGGAAATAATGTTTTAGATGTACATAACTGTTCTAAGTATATTGGCTTGACTCAGAAAGTTAATTAGCTCATAATTGTGTTTTGGAAATTAGCTCCTTTGTATGCATGCTGAAAAAGTTTCATTGGGTATTTACGCATGCTGTTTTTATACATTTGATGCATGTGTTTCTGTACGCAAGTTAATTGAAAGTAATTGGGTTTTAAATATTTTGAGGGGGGTATTTTACACAAATACACTGCTTATCTGCAGCTCCGAGTTTGTGATTTTTCTTCTATTTTGTGACCATGACCTTTGATCTCCTCAAACAAATTTCCCAGGGACCTTTGGAAGAAGTCCATCAAAGGATATTCTCTTATGTCAATAATCTTTGAAAAGCAGCCATTAGAAATATCCCCTATGGTAATGGCAGTCAAATTCTGACAAAACCTTAAAGCCATCCTGTTTCATGAGACTCCAAAATATGTCAAAGCCATGGCACACTAGCCCAGGCAAACCCCCCAAGAGCTACATTCCTTGTAAATTCCCAAGATCACAATCATGGGCCATTTCACATCAATGTATACGACCAAATAATCAACTTGACTAAAGTATGTAGGTGAAGTCAGTTTCTGCTTATTCACAGACATATCAAGACAGGAACGCAGTCTAAGGCATTTGCAACACAGCTGTTGCTTGCAAATTCATGTTCTAATGATTAGTGATACTTATGCTTTGCATACTGTTATTTAACATCCATATTTAGAACAAAGTTGCTGAAAATGATAGAGGCTTTCACCTTAAGTCTACTCATATAATGTTTAACATTCACACACAAAAACTCCAAGGCACTGTTGCTCACCTGCTAGATTTGTTTTGAGCTCAAACTGATTTTTTCTGCATATTAATTAGTTATTTAACATGTTTAATGTATGTGAAGCTGTTTCTGAAACAAAAGACGTTCTATTTTCGCATACCAACCATAACAATATGAAAATTCCTAGTTTTATCTGTCACATTATCAACCATTTGTTACATATTTGTCTGACATTTGAAGCTTGCTCAACTCAAGATACTGAGATGGTGATACATATCCTTGCAGCCATCTGGGCCTTGTGTTTTTGAGAAGGTTTATCCAGACATTTTCCACAATTTGAATTTATTTTGCATATAAAACTTAACAAACATTTGCCACTTGCAATACCACAAGTATTTCCATATTACATCATCTACCTACGAGGGGTGTTCACTAAAGATTTCCCCTAAACCACTTCATATTTGGTTGAAATTTCACATGTGTAATGATACATGTATCTATAGGTTATGTCTGAATTTGAAGCACCGAACTATTAATCTTACCACTTTTACAGGTGTTATGATCAAGTAGGATGTGACAATGGAGCCAGTAGAATACCGAGCAGTGATAAGGTTTTTATATTTGAAAGGTCGCACACCAAAAGAAACTTTCGATGAAATGAAAGCAACTTATGGGGAAGATGTCCCATCATATGACGTTGTTAAACACTGGCATCGCCAGTTCAAGTTTGGTCGGACATCTGTGGAAACAGCTGCCATTCCTGGTCGCCCCCATTCAGCCATTGATGAGGACACTATCCATCAAGTGGAGACCGCCAGTTAGCACAAGATGTCAAGATCAGTGTAGGGTCTGTGGAAAAAATCATCCATGACAATTTGAACATGCATAAGGTGTCTGCACGATGGATTCCCAGGTTGCTCACACCTTTCCAAAAGCAGGAACGAGTCAATTGCTCAAAGGATCTTTTGGACATGTGGCAAAAAAAACAGGCAAACTTTTTTGACAGACTTATCACACAGGATGAAACATGGGTCCATCACTATGATCCTGAGACTAAAGTTCAGTCGATGCAATTGAAGCATGTGGAGTCACCCCCCCCCAAAGAAGGTACGTGTCCAACCCTCTGCAGGCAAGGTCATGCTCACGGTGTTTTGGGACCAGCACGGAGTAGTGATGATGGATTTCTTGGCAAAGGGTACCACAATTACAGGAGCTTATTATGCTTCACTGCTGCGGAAATTGCGGGACGCTATCAAGCTTAAGAGGCGTGGCATGCTGACCAAGGGTGTCCGTCTTCTGCAAGTCAATGCTCCAGTACACAACTCTCACGTTGCCCAGACAGAAGCACGGTCCTGTGGCTATGAAATCCTTCCACATCCTCCTTACTCTCCTGACCTTGCACCATCTGACTTCCACCTCTTTCCAACCATGAAGTCATTTTTGAAGGGAAAACGTTTCACAGATGATGAAACACTGATTTCTGAAGTCAAGTCCTGGTTTGAGACGCAAAATGAGGGCTTTTACAAGCGAGGTCTCCATAGTTGCATAAAACGATGGGAGAAGTGTTTAACTCTTGGTGGTTCCTATGTGGAGAAAGACTAATACCTATGCCAAGTTTCATTCCACTAGGTCCATCGGAAGTGGGTCAGGGGAAATCTTTAATGAACACCCCTCGGACATATTGGCGAAAATTCTAAAATGTTTTCCAAGTTATTTTTACCGACTTCCTTCTTTGAAAAATATTTATTACTGGAATGAGCAGATCTGCATCCAATTGTGTTGCTACACATCATACCACAGATTCAGCTTCCAAGGCCTTACAGTTTCAGAGAAGATTCTTCAATTTATTTTCTATTTTTTTCTTTTAGCAAATCTTAAGTGTGATGATGAAGATATACGACTCAAATCTTGAAAAGAAGCTAAAGAACATCCTAGTTTTCATATGACAATAGTAAATCTGGAGTATTGAATAAGACACACAGTGAAGTCAGTGTACAAGTGCTTTAATTTCTAAAGCCCTAACATGTCAAATATTTCATATACTTTCATAACCAGAGAAATACTCAGTGTTTACTATATTGATTTTTTACTTAATTGAACAGTGTTATGTGATTTGATACTCAGTTTTTACTTATTTTGAACAACTTAACTCAATTTAATACTCAGTTTTTTGTTTATTTGATCTATTTCACTTGATGATTTGATACTAAATCTTTGCTTATTCGAACCATTTTACACAATGATTTGGAGACTTAAGCCTTTCCTTAATGGAACTATTTTACTTGATTTGATTTTTTTAAATTGAACAATACAACTTGACTTGACAGTCAGTCTTTCCATACTTAAAAATTTTAACTTGATTTAATACATATTTGAACAATTTAATTCGATCTGATACTCAGTCTGTACTTATTTGAACTTGACGATTTGAGTGGGCGATTGTTGGCTTACACCGTAGTCAGCAATATCACAGCTTTATCACGGCATCCTGTAAATAAAGAACTTGGGCCAGGCAAACCAGTGGTTGATAGCATGAACAACGATCCACGCCACCGGGGGTACGATGACACACAACCAGCCAGGTCACATAGTGTACAACCACCTGATCCTCATGTCAGTTGACTCTTACCGAAGGCATGGGGGCTGTTTCCTGGAAAAGAATGCAAAAACATCATACTTTTCTGTTTCACAAGCCACAGAGTAAAGACAGTGGTACAGAATGAACATGAAATCACTTCCTGACAGACACATGTATCCCAAAAGTCACTAAAGGACAGGACAGTATTACACATCTTTCGTCAGTTTTGAAACAGTTTGATGGTAAGACATCCGGAAATTTGGTAAGTTTGTTAAAAAGTATTCACTGATGACTGGGCAGGAAGAAATGACTTTTCAGTTGCCAGCTAACTTCAATTTCGTGGTAATTGCTAAAAAGTTTACTTGTAAGAGCGAAGGTTACTTGTCCAAAATTTTACGAACACAAAATATTGTGTGTTAAACCTGGGTTTGGACTTGTGGTTTCAAATGCTCTTCTTATCACAAATAAATAAACGTTTCAACAAATACCACACCTTGAACACCAATGGTAAACACCTCATAACAACCTACACATGGCTAGAAAATTTCAGTAAAGGCTAACACTGCACTACAATGAGCTAAAATAAGAAATTCTATTCAAGTATAGTATTTCTGCACCAGATTTAGAATTTACTTTTGCACCTAGCTTACTGGTTGATAGTGTAAGAGGGAGGTCAACTTGATGCAATGATCATTGTTACAGCAGGTAAATAACTGTTGTGAATGCTCTGACCACGGCATTACAGTACTACAGTCCATTACCATAGAAAAGTATACAACTTGTAGCTAGTCAGTGAATACAATGCTTAATGAAGTAGACAGCTACCAATATCATAATATATCAGTATCTAAACAGTTGTGATAAACTAATCATAATATACTGAAATCCTGTTGTCTAGAAACCCTGCTCTTCCAATGATTACTATTGGCAATATCTGCACAGTGAAACCCTATTAAACTGGATGAAATATCTCACTGACTATGGATTAACAAGTTTGCAGAGTAGGTGAGGTGAAATGTGGTTTAACGCTGCGTTCCAAGATTATTGCACTTATATAGCGACATGCATGCATGCGTGCATGAGTGGGTGCGTGGGTGTGTCTGCTTGCACTAGTCTGGACTAATGCCAATTTTAGCAGGTGCTAGCCCACTGAGATACCATGTTGAAGTTAACATGAATACCCCACTCAGACACAGTATATCAACTCCGAGCCAACCAGTCCTTTTAGCCCCTTAATGCAGATAACAACAAGTACCATCTTTTAACGTGTGTGCAGAGTACAGGTAAAAGTCCAGTGATGGTATTCCTCATGGACTAGTAGCATTTGAGGGCTTTAATTCTGAACCAGTTTTCAAGGATTCTATTTTCCTGCAAATTGGTACTGAATAAAGCATGTTCCTCCTTTTCTAGCAGGACTAGCAACAAACTCTGAGGATTAATGAAAAAAGTCAACTAGTCCTGAGGGACTAGTCTAAAATCCTCTCAACCCTCCTGAATTTCTAAGAATGTAATGTGGTGCAGACTAATGAGGCTTCACTGTGTAGATACTTGGTTAACAAACATGAACCCTAATATAGCAAACTATCCATCAATACAGGGATAATTCTAGGAAGAGACAAGGCCAATTTGGTCAAAATTTTATCAGATAACAAACCGATTTTGATTTCATGGATGGGATCCGATACAAGTCATTCTTATTTGTCACTGTTTCCACATGACTTATCAGTTTTGGGTAAAAATGGCATTCATTGTAGAATGCATCATCAATGCTGCTTTGATTTCAATAATTACACAAGGACTTTCATATGTGCGTCACTTGGGCGCACTGTTTCTAACACCAAAGAGTCACATTGCACTGGTTGGCTAATGCCATGGTGGGTAGAGTTCTCACATAGCCTGATAGACACTCATCTAACTTACAGGAATAGCAAGTGTTTTAAGACAATTTAGATTTCTCCCCATTGAAAAACAACAGCACATGTGGCAGTAACTGTCGAATTCCACAAAAAAATGAAAGATTTCCATTCAAAATTCTGAAGATAAGCAAATCTCTGTTCTGGGACCAACTTTTGTAAAGAGTGCCCTTGTGACATGGTGATGGTGGGACCATGGGGCCCCACCCTTTCCAGCATCGGATGGGACAGAGTTACGTAGACAGTACGTCCATGGCACAATGTTTGCCACCTTAAAAGACCTAGGATTATCCCTGGAAATTATACTTGATGGATAGCACAATAGAGCCTACATTGACCTCTGGTCCTAGTGGGCTAAACATATAAAGAAATAAAGATTGGGAATAGATTCCACAGGTTGCTCTGTACTTTGTTCATGCCTACCGAGACCTTTTCCCCTTCCAAGGCCGGGACGGAGTCACGGAGGCTGTGGAAACTCTCCTTGATGTGGTCCCGGCGTTTCCGCTCCAACGCATTGTGGTGCGCCCGCTTCTCCGCCTGAAGAACAACAACGACAATCAGAACAGGCATTCAAAGTTAACAAACATATTAACTAACTTCAGCTGTATACAATTCTGGGTAGCCATCAGCTCAGAAAATGAATGTTTATATTGTGTTGCAAGCTTCAGGGTCCCATCTAATATTCTAGACGAAGTACCCTTGTCAGGCAAGTTGATAAAAAATGGTTATTTTGTACAAATATTAGGATTGTTTAAAGTTCTTTTTTTCCAGACCTCTTTTAACACTGCACTGTAACATTGTATTTGATACAATATATGTAAACTTAAGTCTGACCATTGCTGCAGAAATGGGGCAGATTACCACTAATATTAACAGCCCAATGCACAGACATAAATCCCTTGATGTCATGTAGAGACTAGTTTCATATTCATGACATGTGAATTACCATTTGATTCATATTACTTTGCCAATACTGATTTTGTGATGAAATCTTTCCCAGTTCAGATAATTTCTATTACCCCTTGGGGTAATGTCTTATTTCAAGAAGCTGACTTGTATTTCAGTGAAAGGCAGTACCCATGTGCATCATCTTGTGACAGAGCAATGACTCCTGGTATTTCATGTGTGCAGGCTAACATGAATAGAATAAAATACTGTGAAGTGTTAACTAGTAATTCTAACATGACTATTCTACTGATACATCACCTGATTGGAAAGATGATGGTGTAATTTCAAATATAAATTCAGAACATATCATGCTTGTGAGTTTCACTGAATAAAATTTGACCGCCACAATTACAGAGTTCCACAAATACAATGGTCCACAACTTGGCTAAAGACCCCCCCCCCCAATTTGTCAGTTAGGGGCACTTAGTTTCAAATCCTAGATAAATCCCTGAAGTGGTGCAAATTGCTGGACAGCTTTTTAGGACAGATATTTATTGCAGTTGCTGATCAACCTTTTAGTGGCACCAATGAGTTTTCTGGCGCACTGGACCAGCTGAATCCTTGGACGAATTTCCTTTGTCAACCATGTTTACCCCTTGGCCAAATGCCAAAATATGTGGCTTGAGGATATGTGATAACTGAGCTTATACACCACACATGGATGCACACTGTGTCCAACAGCAATGCAAAGATGGTTTCACACAAACTTGGGTAGCTCAAAGTGTTGACTCGATATATTTTTACATAAGAGAAAAATTGACAGTCATTACCTCCTGAACACAACTGATACATTCGTATTTATCAAAATTTGGAACTTTCTATATTTTTTACATGCTTCAATGCTTACTTGTTGAAAGTTAGGCAAGAAATGCACAATTTCTAATGTCTTTTTCTTGACCATATTTAATGCCCAATAAATGTTTACTTGTTTGGAAAACAATACATGTTAAGGGCAATACTTATCCCCCTCTAGAAAAAAATAATAGTTTGTCAGTGATTGGCTAGCACATATCCACATGTAAGCTGTCTTTTCATAGAATTTTTAGTTCAGGTCGAATTTTATTCTTGTAAGATTGTACACGTAACTGAATAGCTAATTGGTTTAACGGAATAGGTTTTAAAAAGGAACACTTAATTTCCAGACTTTTGAGACTGAAATACAATCCACAAACCAAAATTAACCAGCCAGAGTTTTATTTGTTGCAATTGATGATACAATGAAAATATTATCGTGAGTATTATGCAAAAAAAGCATTGAGCCAACAATGCAGGATTCCTGCACCTGTGAAACCCTGTATGTATAAGTTGGGGGCTCTACTGTTAGGGATGATGTTGATGTCTTATAGCAGCAACAAACAATCTGGACAAAAATGTATAAATAACTCACAAAAAAAAAAATATGTAAAAAATTAGAATTTCAATCTGATGCATAAATAGCGTGGTTAATGATAAAACAACAACAAAAATAAAGAAGAAATGATGAATTTCAAATAAATTAACACACTGTCAAGATCTTTTGGAACAACTTCTAACAATGGATTTATATCAAAACATATTCAAACATGCACGACACCATACAAAACCGCTGAAAAAAGTGTACAAATGAAGTGATATTAGTAAATCTATAACAGCACATAACACAAGCAGGGACATCCTTTCTAATGCAGGGTATTATATCTCCATTCAGTTACCATAAGCACCCTGGACCCTTGCCATCATAATATAATAACGAAAGCTTCCTCAATGAAATGGCCCTTTTGGCACCCCTCTGATGGTAACTTCTCTCACACGCAAGTGGAATTTGATTGGTGTGATATAATTTAATTAGTGTTGTTGCATTTGAACAATATTTTTTTGAAAAGCCATGCTAGAGAATGGGTCCAGAGTGTCCATCATAACAGAATGAAGATACATAAGTCTCAGGTGTAACGATGCACTTTGTGGCTGTGTACATTTACCTAAAGTAAGGTCACAACAGTCAAAAACAAATAATAGTATCATACTGTTGTGTCAAGAAATGAGATCATGTTATATTGCGCCAAAAATAATCAACAAACATTGATATTTCGGTGAATTGTTACATCTCTTATACGTGTGCTTTAAAAAAGTAATATCTCCTACTAAGTGCTGATGACCCTACAGGCCAGAGAAGTAGTGTATAATTATCAATTTGGTTGCATGACAACACTATTGAAGCAATAACACCAATCATTTCATTAACATACATGAATATGTCTCAGTCAGTATACACTGGCATAATGGGTGAATTGTTCATTCAATGAAACTGCATTCACTCAGGACAGACACAGACCAAGCCTCTGATTGTGACATGTTGGTGTGACATACATCACTATTGTGCCGGTCTGAATCCCTTCCCTGTTGATCATCATGAACATGGCCTGATTAGCCACTGCAACTCGGATACACATGACTGGCATGTGAACACAAAGTTATCAACCACACAAACCCCACTATCATATCCCCAGTTGCTTTCACCACACCCCATTCTTAGGAGATTCTTTTAGGTCAAGTAAGCTCATCTATTAACAGTACAATAAGAACATTAAAATCTACAGAAACCGGCCCTTATAGCCACATTCAGGCCAGCAGACTCAAATGTTTTTTTAGCAGATTTATTCTTGACTATTACTACGGGGGTAATATCTTTTAGGTCAATAGCAAAGTTAGACAATTGCTTTGTTGTTTTCAAAGAAACACAATATGATAATTATTATTCACATGCCATTTCTAGTTTCTTTTACAACTCTACCAAAATTTCCTGTCATGTTATCAAAAACTTATCTGATGAAACAAACTTAAAAAGACTACTCGTAATTACCAAATCATCCACCACAAATCTTTCAACATTTTCAAATCACATGACTCTACATCTAGCCTATAGCTTTATCACAATCAACAATGAGAAACAACAATTGTTCATCATCATAACCTTTCCAAAGTTCAGTTCCTACTAACATAGTCAAAATACTGCTATTCTGTCCACTGATTATTAAACATAAAATATTACAACTTACTTTGCGATGGACAGGCATTTCTATATTCAATGTATATAAATAAAATCAGTGTGCGTGTTTAGTGCTGACACTAGTGGAGTAAATTTACCGGCTACTGTCAGTGTGAGTTGGTAATCAGATCTATAAATAGTCATTGTACTTGCCCACACTGGGCTGAGGGTACATGTGGTTGTAGTTGTGCAGATACTGACTGCTTTATCCAATTGTCAGCCTTGCAATAAACATAAGCTCTATTCAAGGCATAACTTAGCATGAATCATGGACACAGGCATTAAGTTACGATTCATGACGGGAATAAAAATGTTTGTATGGCTAACTACTGTGAAATAACCTAAATTCATTCCAAAGATAACCAGATGTGAAGGTCAACTACAAATACAGTCCGTGACTTTAGTCACTCTTCCATAGCACGAGTCTAGTAAAAAGTCTTTCAGTCTAGTAAGCATTGATAATCAAGTCCAGCAACACTGAGATCTACTGAAAATGATGTCAAGAGACAGGTTCGTGGAAAGTAGACTGCAATTAGTGGTAACATCTTTATGGGATATTGATCCTAGTGAATCGTTATATTATAAATGATTTCTACAAGCCATCATAATTAAAGAGTGACTATTAAGTAGTCAGACGTTGCTATTAGACTCTCTGACTTAAGTGAAAGTTTCCTCTCACTTTACAGGGCTACATCTTTCTTTCTTTCCCTGTGAAAAGTTATTTTCTGTATATCACAACTGGAAAAACCTGTTTCACTTAATCCATTATGTCAAAACAAAAAAAGGGTAAAAATAATTCTCCTCATGCTGCATAATCACCATCACAAGCTTACTTCAGTTAATATAGAGTTGGAAGATGAAGTAGTGATATCAGTCTGCGATTTATACCACCAGTCAGAAACCTCAATTTGGTTCTGTCTAGAAAACTCAGCAAATAGCAGGCCTAATAACACCAAACACTACTGAAAACTATGCTAAGATCCATGTTCAAGCCAGCAGACTCAAAAGCGTTTCACTCAGATAATTTGTAATTCTCTGACCCGTGAAAATCTGGATAGAGAATAGGTCTTCAGCAACCTATGCTTGTCGCAAGAGGCAACTAACCGGATCAGATGGTCAGACTCGCTGACTTGGTTGCTGAATGTCACTGTATCCCAGTTGTGTGGATCGATGCTCATGATATCAATAACTGAGATTGTCTGGTCCAGACTTGATTATATACAGACCGCCGTCATATAGCTGAAGTATTGCTGAGTGTGGTGTTAAACAACAAACAAAGAAATCATTTCCAGACTTGTGTTCCATCTGTTACAGCCCAGTAAGACTATCCAATCATAGTCTATACATTCAGACTTAATCTGGCTAAAAAGATGCCCAAAGATGCATGTCTGGGCAGGTACACATGGCTAACAATACTACAGAAGTTCAGACTTGCTGTACAACAACATGTATTGTAGCATCAAGTAAGTATTGGGGTCAAATATGTTGTCCTTTTAGAACGTAGAGTTACTGGCATCAGTGAGTTAAGTTTGATGCTGCTTTGAACAATATTTTACTTAATGTGAGAGGAAACCTCAAATTTACACAGGTCAAGGACATTTCCCATTTTGGTAAAGCCATCAAGCATCGGTGATGTGTTACCAAACGAAAGGTAACACTAAGGCAAAATCTGTTGTTTCAACCCACAATCAAGAGGTATTTGCACTACCAGCTGGGACTGGGCCTAGGGCTGGAACTGTTACCGGGTACTCAAGTACGAGTCGAGTATGATAACTTCTTGAGTGTATTGAATACTTGAGCACTTCCTTTCAATTATTTCCCTTTCTTAGCAGCCATGGTGGAATGAATGAATAAATATTGCTTGAGATGGTATGAAGAAGTTTGCACATATTGGCGCTTTTTTGCACATTTATGCTGCTTTTAGCAATATTCCAGCAATATCATGGTATGGGACACCAGCAATGGGCTTCACACATTGTACCCATGTCGGGAATCGAACACGGGTCTTTGGCTTGACAAGCGAACGCTTTAACCACTTCGGCTACCTGACTGCGTACGTTGGGTGTATTAATGCTGTATCCACACGTTCTATATGCACGTTTCATGGTAAACTGATGTTGACAAGGAATACATGTGGGAGCATAATCTCCGTTTGAGAAGAAAGCCTGGGTAAAAGATGAGTGTCGTGTACAACAGCAGTGTAAACCAACATCATCTCTACAGCATGTAACACAAAAATTGTGATGATTAATGAACGGCTGAATATTATGCAAATGTTCGTTATTTCGGGCAACCTCTCAACCATGTCAAGTGGCAATTATTTGAACTGTCAGAAGATAAAACTAACATCAAATGCATATTTTTCTCCATTCGATGCTCTTTAGGGAGTCACTACCTCCACAATGAGGAGCCACCTGAACAAAAATTGAAACATTTGAAACTACTGCACTTTGTATCCACTTTGTCAAGTTTTGGAAACAAGACTCAGATTAGTTCTTACTACCGAGAGAGATCCAACTGGCTTTATAAAGTTGAAAATATCTTAAATTTGGTTTTAAAAGTTAGCATCTAGTATCAACAGTGAAGTACAAAATAGAATAAATTTGATTGGTGAAAAAAAGCATGAAAGACCACACAAAAACATAATTTGTGACAATGATAAAAGGTACAATTTTCATCTGTGAAATTCTACAAACTGCATTTTCTGTTAATTGCGTACTTCAATAAATATATGAAAAAAACTTTCCTATTTATAATTTTCTTTTTTATCCCGCTTAAAGGTTTTATTCAGCCTCAAATGCCACTATTACTGACAAAATTCTTTCCTTTTACTATCCCACAAGAAATATCACCTTTAGATCTAGTAGGAATAAATATGAGCCTGTTTCTTCTTGAAATATTTACTTTATGAACCACATTAAGAATGCAACAGTCCCACATGAACTGTACACTGCATCGAGTTCATATATGTCAGTGTTTGTTCTGCATGATTGACAAGTGGTATAGATTAACACATGTTGGTATTTGTTTACATACAGATGTGACGTCACTGGATCTGTCACACAGTAAGCTGCACGAGTTGAAATAAAACGGCTACTATGCATATATCCATTTGTGCAGACAATCACAAAGGTGATGAACCGAACCTGGTAGGTGTAATATGCAACTAAACTACATTTGCATGCATAAATATATATATATACACATCTCCCGTTCCTCGATCACAAACTGACAGCTAGATGATCACGTGGTCTTGTCGCTGATTAGCTATTCACGTGCACTTCTGTCAAAACATAAGCGAATTTACCCCCACATTACAAATAAAGAAATTGACAGAAGCGAAGCAAGCATTAAATGTGTCAGCTTCCGTACGGACTACCTGACTCAAATATGGGCCAGAAGCCTGAGATCCCGACGTTGGCGAATCCAGGCAGATACTCCCGTCATCGTCGTCTTCCTGCAAGTACAAACGCGTACGGATCAGACTTTACCCTTCATCTGACCCATACTAGCGTCTTTAGAAATGCAAGGAATGGATTAATTGAAAGATGTGAATCTGTTTTACAACTCACGTCACTTTCAACGTCCACATCCCTGTCCTCATCGCTCATCCTTCGATCAGAACCCACTCCGCCCAACACGGCCCTTCTTGCAAACCACAACAAAATGGCGAACTCTACACGCCACGCGGTCAAACCACGTGCGCACTGAACAACAACACAAGCTATGACGTAAAATTTATTTGCATTATTTCCCGAGATAAGTACTACATATTTATTGTACATATTACACAGATACAGTTCGAAATTAGCCAACGAGTCGAGAAATGTTTATTTTCGACCTTGACAAAATATGTAATAAGGTCAGAGTTCAACATGTGACCTCATCTGACCTCGCAAAGGTTGTGGGTGTGTGGCATCATCGACAACAGTGAAATCAACAAGGGCTTGTTCACAAGCAAGGAAATGAACACTCTAGCACGTACACAGAGGAGCCAGATGACGAGAATTACGTTGAAAGTATCATTTGAGTATCGCTAGGACCGTTTGTGAAGAGTTCAGCGAACAGTTATATATAATTGTTTAAATTCTTGCCGACATTTTTATCTGTGCACGTTCATAATTTTCAATCGAATTCTAATATAAAATATACACAATACGTATATGAATATGTTATTTATTGAGATATATATTAGCCATATAGGTTGGGACAAGAAGACTGGTCCAACAGCTAAGCATGAGAGGAATCGAAACCGGTTCTTCGGTTTTGACGACCCATATATATACCTGGTTCAGCCACTCGGACAAACCACCACCCAATACTTTTTAGACATGTGATGTGTTCGACTAAAGGTATAATTTCAACCAATCAAGTTTATTTCTTAAATCAGTCCACATGTCTAATTGTACAGTTGTAAGATAGATTATGTTTTAGGTCACATGTCCAGAGTGTTACATTTCTGTCGATCTAATTCTAAATAATTTACATAAATATAAAGCTATATCAAGCGTAGTACATTAATATCCCAGGAGTTGCAAACGTAATATTACCTTAATAATGTTTCTGTAATGAGGTAAAAAATGGATTTCTCAAGTGAATATATTTCTTATATTAGAAAAAGACATGTTATTCATCCTCTACTAAATGAAGATCACATTCCTTACTTATAGATTCCGTAGGAGGTATATTTAACAATGGCTTTGTACGAATATTGTTGACACGAAAGTTGTGAAGCGATATTCGAAATTTACATATTGCTCTAACTAATCGTTTGTCTCTGTTATATGAGTACTGTTATATATAACTCGGTTTCCAGAAGAGATTTTATATGAGCATAATGGACTAAAAAAATAGACGATTATAAACGGTGGTACCATGATTGGAAATATATATCTTTTTAGCGTCTTCTAAATGCAGATAAAAACATGTTCTTATCACCAACATCTTGGAATAACGATACATACGCAAAACCGCAATTAAATAACATTTGTCTCACATACGATGCCCAATTGACTTTTCCATTCTCATCTACTACTTTAAGCATAAGATAACTTTGGAAGGGGTATGGACTTAATTACCCTTATTTGCGTATTTGTAAACATACAATGACGTCCAGTTTCACCCAGAAATCTACCCACACCAAGAAAACGTTTAAACTAGTATGTTTGTATCTTTTCAATTGTATCATAATATTTAACACCCTATATTTCCGAACCACACATCAATATTCGAGCGATTTTACTGTCAAATATTTTACAAGCAGTCGACAAATCTATGAATCTGTTATTACTAAACAAATGAAAAACTATCCCTGTTGCCTTCCGTGCTTGCATGGCAAGAGGTTCGCATGCTTTAAGGCCATATTAACCGCTAGGAGAACATAATACCAAGACTCGCCCGAACAGGACTCTTATTTTGTCAGTGCCTTACATGCAAGTTTTCGTGGTTTTCGCCAAATTAGCAAATTATACTCCCGCGCATCCATTCGCTCATTTGTATGGAAACCGCAAGTATTGAGATTTTATAACGCTTCGTGTGGTTTGGTGATGATAATGTGATAAATACTATGCTATGGATGGTGTTGTAATTACCTGCATGGCATGAACATCACTTGCAGTTGAGAAACATCCGCAAGATATATACATGCATGATTACTCTTAGGTGCAAGATTACACCGTGCATATTATATAAACCCCATGCATACATGAACAATGACGCACACACAGGGATTTTGACGTATATCACGTGTAAACCATTGCAAAATTCTGGTAGTTAGTTAATGTAAGAGAATCTGTTTTGCGCCGTCGAAAGTAGGTAATACTTTTTCTGTGATAACCCTTTTATTAAGTATTTAGGATATAGTGCACATGTAGTATTAGTGACCTGTACTCGTCTTGGCGACAACTGACTTACTTTCCTGGAATAAAAACAATCCTACGTTCAACAAGTTGATATATAGTTTGTTCAGAATAATTGAGATATATGTCATCAATAGTATTCAGTCTGTAAAGGTGATGGACTTTTCAAATTCTGGACAGTATATTTTCCCCGTTCATTCACATGATCTTGTTTCGGGCACCAGAATAAGGGGGGCAACTCTTGTAATCTTCTCACGCAGATTGTCGCAAATAGACCTTTGACCAAAAATCTATACAACTAGTGCTCCTGCTCTCTTGCTGCAACAAGAACAAGAACAACAACAACAACAACAACTACTGCTGCTGCTGCTGCTGCTGCTGCTGCTGCTACTACTACTACTGCTGCTGCTAACACATATATGCTGCTGTGAGTGTGGAATGACACCTCTATGCTTCTGAGTGTACAATGACACCTCTATGCCTCTGTGAGTGTAGAATGACACCTCTGTGCTTCTGTGAGTGTACAATGACACATATATGCCTCAGTGAGTGTACAATGACACCTCTATGCTTCTGTGAGTGTAGAATGACACATATATACTTTTGTGAGTGTGTATAATGACATGTCTATGCTTCTGCGAGTGTAAAATGACACCTCTATGTTTTGTGAGTGTACAATGACACCTCTGTGCTTCTGTGGATGTAGAATGAAACCTATATGCCCCTGTGAGTGTAGAATGACACCTATATGCTTCTGTGAGTGTACAGTGACACCTTAATGCCTCTGTGAGTGTAGAATGACACCTCAATGCTTCTGTTAGTGTGTATAATGATACCACTATGCTTCTGTGAGTGTGTAGAACGACATCTCAATGCTTCTGTGGATGTAGAATGACACCTCTGTGCCTCCGTGAGTGTAGAATGACACCTCTGTGCTTCTGTGAGTGTAGAATAACACCTATATGCTTTGGAGTGATTCATATTGAATGTTAAGGTTCAATATATTACGATTCAAGATTTCTAGAATTTTAATATTGCAGAATATCCGAACTGAATAATAATTATAATGATGTTGATAGCCCGCAGCGATAACAACGTCATCGAAATGAAAAGCGGAATCGACAAGAAACAACTTAACACATTGCATCTGAATGCAATTCTCTATGTCAACAACCAAGAGTCGCCACCAGTTGGTTTCGATGCATTTGTCCGCCAAGTGAAGATCAGCCTTGTCCCAGTTATTGAAGCCTGATAACATATAATGTACTCTGCGCTGCGACGCGGCGGCAACGACCTTACAACTCCTCCGATAGCGTTCATCGCTGATAGCCATCATGAGAATTTTATTGCCCGCTTATGTTTTTCTGAGTTTTCGTTTTAGATATATGATCACATATCACTTTCAGTTTCGGAATCAACTAGCTCATTAGGTTTTACAAACCGTTCATAGGAAACGACCAATATTCAATGTTTCTATGGAAACCGTAGATTATGTTTAACAGTGAAAGGTTAATGTGTTTCAAGATGGCAAAAAGCAGCCGGTGATGGAACTAATAAGACAGAGCGTATATAGGCTTATCCAGCCGTACGGACTTACCGTTATCAAATACATAATCTTGGTTTGTGGAGACCTGACCATGTATTTTAGTTGACTGTATTATTCTTCCGACTGTTGGTTTCGGAAGTGAAAACTGATGACCATGTTCCGTTGTAGTTGTTACATATAAAAAACCTTTTCGAAACACTGTCTGAATGAAATATTTTTACCAGACGCTATTAGGCAAACCCTAATTAGTCCAGACCCCAAAAGACCAACCCTCATTAGTCCGGACCCCATTAGACCAAACCCGTTAGTCTGGACGCCATTAGACCAAACCCGTTAGTCTGGACCCCATCAGACCCACCCTGATTAGTCCGGGCACCATTAGACCAAACCCGTTAGTCTGGACCCCATCAGACCCACCCTGATTAGTCCGGACCCCATTAGACCAAACCCGTTAGTCTGGACCCCATTAGACCAAACCCGTTAGTCTGAACCCCATTAGACCTAATCCGTTAGTCCGGACCCCATTAGACCAACCCTCATTAGTCCGGACCCCATTAGGCCAACCCTCATTAGTCCAGACCCCATTAGACCAAACCCTCATTAGTCCGGACCCCATTAGACCAAACCTGTTAGTCCGGACCCCATTAGACCAAACCCCGTTAGTCCGGTCCCCATAAGACCAACCCTCGTTAGTCGGAAACCCATTAGACCAAACCCCGTTAATCCGGACCCCGTTAAACCAACCCTCATTAGTTCGGACACTCAAACCTCCTGTCGACTGCTGCTGGGACGTCTACATACGTGCTACAACCTGACGTTGATTCACGCATGTTTGGTGCAACCAATAGCTCTGGCATGATTTTCAAAACTCAGAAATCAACTTGTTTCAAGTCCCTATTGTAATATACCATTTGGAAATTGTTTTTATATTGTACAGTCCCATGTAATGCAGTTGACAGTTTACTAGTATTGAGTATAGCTAGTTCCAAGGCACCATTCCTGTGACACCCACTACTTCTAGCCCGTGATTAGTCCGTACGTGTGTCGTGTTGAGAATATCATCAGCTGCATTGATGGTAGACACGGACGAGTAGACCAACAGACACAGATGAGTAGACCAACAGACACAGATGAGTAGACAGACAGACAAAGACACAGATGAGTAGACCAACAGACACAGATGAGTAGACAGACAGACACAGATGAGAAGACCAATAGACACAGATGAGTAGACCAAGAGACACAGGTGAGAAGACCAACAGACACAGATGAGTAGACCAACAGACACAGATG